CTGTGAGAATGAAGAATGTGCAGGGTAACAAGCAGCGTGATAACATGGTTGAGAGCTCTTAAGCGAGTAGTAGTGCTTACAGTAAATGTACTACTACTGGATTTTTATTCTTACAATGCAGTTACAATGATACTCTACTGAATAATATTTCTTGTGCGTTTAAATCTAAAATAAATTAGGTATTCATGGACAGTATTGCAGTGTATAAACTTTGCTTTGTTCCCTGCCTGCTTAACTTTTATCACATTATTCACATTCATGCGCACTGCAGTAGTTTTATTGTGCAGCTGTCCACCAGTCAGTACGGAGCATTCCCACACATCACGCTTCATAAAAGATACTTAAAATCGACTCCCATAAAAGGCTACACAACTCACAAACGCACATTTTATTTCAAAGCCGTAAACAGTTGCTATTTGCGGCGAAAACAAACTAGTGACTAATTTATGTTGAGGTGATGGTAACACTTTATAATAACTACACTTAAATTAGACTGAATAAAGCAAGAACAAAGATTTAATTCACAATGAACCAGTAGTTTAGTAAGAATTATTCAGGCTTGGTAACTTAAAGAGGAGGCATATTATTACTTCTATGAGGAATTAATTGTTGACAAATAACATATTTAGATCACCAAGTTATCTTTTATTGTTTTGAAAATGCTACACAGCAAAAACTGGAGGGTTAAAATGTTAGGGTAAAATATTTCAGAGTTGTTTTTAACACCAAAAGTGTTATTTTAACTATTTGAAAGTTAAATGGGGGTTTGAGTTGGGGTTATTTGTCAGAGTTGATGTGGTTGAGGTTAATTCAACTTCCTCTAGTGTTAATTAAACTTTTCTTAGTGTTAATTTGGCTCCTCCCATTCACCACTTCAAACTCTTGTGAGAGAAGACCAGTTTGCACCAGTTTTGTACATAATTTCATCTTAATGAACTAAAGTAAAGTAAAAATAAAATAAAACACCTCTGTGTGTTGTTTAGCTAAATCAGAATAACTCTACAAAGTGTTTACTCTCAAAACGTTAATGTAACTCTTGATTTCGGGGTTAAACAGGAACTTTGGTTCAGTGTTACTTAATTAACATTTCTAAAAATGTAAAATTAACTTTAGAACAGATTGGACTCATATAAACTCTGAGAAAATGTTAAAGTTGATTCTGTAAGAGTCAATTTTAACGCTCCTCTTTTTGCTGTGTATATTCGCTGAAAACAACACACTATCACAACACAATTTCATTAGCGTGCATCCTGATCATGAAACTACTGCACATCGCATCAGGTTTGTGAAGTTGTTGTGTATATTTATGAAGAACTGTCGTGTGGGAGCATGGGCGAGATAGGCTTGTGGGCTGAGCATTGGACAGAATATCACAGCTTATATGTAAAAACCTTGTGCCATTAGGTTTTTGATGAGGGAACGTTATTAAGGAGTAGAAAGCTCCACAAAAAGTCTACTTTGCATAATACTCCAAGTTAAAGGTTGCAGAACATAGTGTAAATCACTGTTTCCCAAACCTTTTTTCTGGGGACCCGTATTTTAAAAGTCACAAACTTTCGTGACCCGAGTCAAAAGAAATTATTCCTAAATCACAAAATGAAGGTGGATTTGACCATTATTGAACATTAATGAGGATATTTTATTGTTGACTGAGTGATCGTGTCCCTCTGAACTCTTAGTATTACTCAAGTTTTAAACAATAAAAAACAGTAATTGAACCAGCAATAAAAGGATCCATAAGTCGCCTATTTGGACATTAAATGTAGCCCATTTCTTTTTCTTTTCAACATTCAACTGAGCCAGCAATATTGGGACAAAATAGTCAACTAAATAATTACAAAAAGATTAGAAATTATACAGAAGATGTCTTATCATTTCAAGGTTTCTAATGAGATAGGTGGGCCTGTCTTGTTTTTGTTTTGGAGTGCAGGAGGAGAGCGCAGCAGCAGATCAGGCGCAGGATTCAGTCTGTTTCTGTGCTTTGTCTTCATTTTTGTGAGCACAGAAAATCCCAATTCACACAAATATGTAGTAGTGGAAGGAATAAACATAGGAATACTAGCCCTACTGAGGATATTCTGATGAAATGCTGATCCAGAATGATGATAAAGTCACAGATCAGAACTGTATATTGCAGACCTACATGCAGATTGTGACAAGGCGACTCCAAAAAAAAAAATAAATCTTGTATGATCCACCTGAGGGTTACGACTCTTTGGGAAACAATGATGCAGAGAATCCACCACCTGCTTTTGTCCGTGAAAATTGTATTGTTTTGTTGTAGTGTTCCCTAGTATGAGATTATCTCCACAGAGACAAGCAGGTGATACTACCAGGGCAAGTTACAGGTCAGATCTGTGCAGAGGTGACACTGCTTACAGTTAAGAGTCCATGTTTTTCAAGGTATTTTTAGACAGATAGAAAACAGAAGAAAGAAAGATAGTAAGCTGTAAGATCAATAGGTGTAAGGCCGTACTGTGGAACATTCCAGGCAATAGGGCTCCGTATCATCAAGAGTCCACCGATATGATACATACCTCGATAAATAAGCCACGATACGATACATATCTCAATACAAAGAGCTTTCGATTCGATACGATATATTTCAAATCAATTTGATACGGTTCAATAACAAAATAAAGGCTAAATCATGGATGTGATACTAAAAGTCTTTGTTAAACCACTTCTTGCGCAAAGTTCATATGAAACACGAACATTTTAATCATCAAAACAGTGAATATGTTAAATGTGTTGGATAAAAGAGTTTCCTTCCACTGAACAAGCAACAAAACTGTAGCGCTGTAACAAAATAAAGAGTAAAATATACCAAAAAATACTCTTGGCGATGTATCGATACAGCAGCCCATGATATCGATACTGCATCATGACATTAAACAATACGATATATCGATATTTCAATATTTTTGCACACCCCTACGAGGCAAAGCAATAAATCTCCATGGGTTCATTTTTAATTAATGTCCTAACTAAATCCAAGTTATTCTTAATAAACGATTTGCTCATTATGAAGTAAGTCTTTCTTCATGCTTTAAAAATGCGATTTAAAGCATAGTTATTATAAATTGTTCCCAGTGACGCAGGTTTGACCTTTGACCAGCACTTTCCTATAGATGTTGCGGGTTAAGCACATACTTGTTTTAAAGACCTGAGGGTTCATATATATATAGAGCCCTGTGGTTTATGGTGTAGTAAAGGAGGAGCCCGCATCTATCTCCTCTATAGTCACTCCTCAAATTGATCCGGAATATCCATTTTACCATAAAACGCCCGAGCAGGGAGGGGAGACAGGGCATTACCCATCCAATTACAGTAATGGTGTCGAGTAAATCAGGCAGACCACAACAGCACATAGATAAGCAGTGACACAGGCAAGAGGAAAAGTCCAGTTGAGCCCTGGTTTGCAGAAGTGTTTACAAGTACTAGTGAATAATGTGTAGTGCAGGGGTCTCCAACCTTTTTCCTCCGATGAGCTACTTTTACGAAATGAAAATGCCAGAGAACTACTAATATTAGCTGTAGCAAAAAATGTATAAAAGAAAGAGGGCAAGCCTTAGATGGGGTAAATTTAGGCTTCGCTCAGACTGCAAGGTTAAATGCTCAATTCAGAGTTTTTTGGGAAATACGATTTTTTGCAAGGTTGTTCACATTTCCAATTAAATGTGACTTGTATGTGATCTCCAGTGTGAACTTTAAACGCCCCAAAAGTGTCCCGCACGTGCACTGGAGGACACGACGACGTCACATCCAGCGAGCATGCTCAGTGTTTACGGAAGTCGCCTAAACTTGGACGTGAGCATTGAGCACCTGGAGATTTTAAAGTTGCTGTCGAACCGGAGCCAGAACATGTACAGCTTATTTGTTTTAAGGAGGAGATTGAGAAGGAGAAGGACGAGTGTAGCATCCAGTCGAACTGAGAAGGCCAGAACTGATGGTTAAATGACTTTTTAATCATTCCTTGCCGTGTCATAGAACCAACGTAAGAGCTAGACAAGAACAAAATAACAGCAATTCACAAGCTCATTACATTGTTTAACTGTTATCCATATTTAACAACAATTTGATACAAATAACAAGAAGCTCAAATATACATTTACAAGTAAAACAAACCTTGTTCCGCTGTCGACTGTTGCTATCTTTAGTTTTGTTTTATATAACTTTTCACCGTTGTTTTGTTTTTCTCTATTAACGTTGCCGTGTTTACTTTGCGTCTTTTCTTTATAACAAGAAACTTCCGCTCACACCGGAAGGCACCAAAATAAAAGCGCAACCTTACTATTAAATGCCATGGACTGTGTGTTAATGTATATAAGAGCTAACTTGACCTTTACAACGAGGTTTTGGGCCATAGCGTTTTGTGGGGCATTGGCAGCAACGTCCGTAGAAACGAACGTGTGAGAGCGGAGTTGCAGAACAAGAGTGGCGGGATTGTTATGTGCTTCACTGTTTCACTGGCGCAGACTTCATACACAATTTTCGTATGATGAGAAGAACGTTTGTGTACATTTGTGAGCGCCTACTCGTACCACTCTCGCAGGAGATCGGATGAATGCGACCTGGCCATTCAGACTGAAAAGATCGGATATGTATCGGTTTTAGGAGCACATATCCAAGTGGCCTGGTTTGCATTTGGAAAAAATCTGATCTGTGTCGTTCAGACTGTCATTAAAAGATCAGATACAGGTCGTACAGGGGCGAAAAAAATCTGATTTGGGTCACTTCAGGCTGCAGTCTGATCATAGCCTTAGATGCCTATACACCATAAACCTTTATCCATTTATTAGTGCACAGAGTTAGGCACCAGTGGTAATAGTCACATAATTAATCATTTTTGAGTTTTTCAGCATAATATGTATAATTCAGAAATCCCTTGGTGAGCTACTTGAAACGGGCTGGAGAGCTACAGGTTGGAGACCGCTGCCGTAGTGTAATAAAAAAGGTTGCATGAGGTTATTTTGCGATATTTTTGAGATAATCTTTACCGTCTCAGCGTCCGGTTCAGTCGGGGGGACAGGTGTTCGGACCACAGGTACAGCAGGGGGCGTGGTCTTCTGAAAAACAGGAAGGGAACATGTAAGTAAAAGTCTGTTGTGAAATACTGGTAATTAATAAATAATATAAATAAAAGTTTTTCAATGTGGCTTAATGGCTTTTGTTCTTGCAGAGGAGGAGAAACTTCCATTCCTTCAGCTTTTGTTTTATGTATTTCCACAAAAAAATAGACTAAATAAATGTGGAATATGCAGTGCCTATATAAAGGTCTCCATCTTGACAGAGAGAAGCAGCAGTAGCGCACATTATAGGTCAGATCTTTGGGGAGATGAGCCAGCTCGCTCAAAGTTAAGAATGCTCCAGTGTGGGACATTCCTGACGAAGCAATAAAGTCTAAAAAGGGAAAGAAAGAAGCGCGCCTTTAAGGAACAAAGTATAGAAGCAGATATGGAGATTGATGATTACAACTTGTACCTCTAAAGAGTAAACTCTGCTTCACCTCCTCATGTATTAACACTACGGTCAGTGGTTTACCCAAAGTGGTTGTTTTGCAGCTGAAACACTTATCAGAGTTTGTTTCCTGTCTCTTTTTTAGTTTGTAAGTTTACTGTGTTTTCGCTTCGCTTGAGTTTATTTTCACTGCGACTGGGGGAAATAAGAAGGCTGTGATTTAAGCGACTAATTAGCTAGCACTGTCACAAAAACATCCATCAGCGCGGCGAGTAAAAAGCTACAAATTTAACACCGAGAAGAGGAAATGGTGAGGCTCTCAACTGATGTTTAATGCTAGAGTTTGTATTCAGGGTGTTAAAGACATTTCAGTGTTGTTTAGTCTAGTCGTATTTTTTACCGTGATATTCTGTTTTGGAGAATTTCATGTGTCAGTGCCAATTAATCACCTCAATCTGACAAAATGATGGATCAGAAAAAGGCAAAATGTTAAGAATTCTTTGTACTTGAAAAGGACACCCAAGAGGCTGATAATATCCAAAGCAGACGTGTTTTAGTGTGAGATCACAGTTGTATTTGTTGAAGCACACTCCACAGCCCCAAGGCCACAGGGATACACGGAGCCAAAGCCTTTTCATAATCTCACAGTTAAGAAGTGATGTTCAAAATGGAAAGGTCAAGTCCCAGACAAGGCCTAACAAAATGGGACGTCTGAGTTTTACCTGATGTGGCAGCAGCACAAAACCTCCTCACAAAGTCTATTCAGAGCGGACTCAGCCAGTAGGAGCCGGATATCTATAAAGCTTTTAGTGCCCTTGTGTTTTTTTTGCAAGGGGCATGTACTTCACAATAGGCAAGTGACACCTAATGGTAACAAACTACTGTATTATGATATTTACGATATTTATTGCGATATTTTGTGGAGGCTAACAAAACTGTGAATATGCTACTTTTTCCTTTTAAAATGTTTTGGCCAGACTTAATCCAAAAAACTAAGACTTAAAAGTGCTTAGAACTGTTATTTCTTCTTGTAGACTGCACTGAAATGGAGCAAAGGATCATGGTCTATGTAGTTTCCTCTGTCTTTTTTTTTTTAAGCTATTGCTGCACCGTAACTCTTAATTTAAGCAAAGAGACTTGTAATTCAATATATTGTGATTGACGATACGATATCACGATATTTCGGTTATTGTTACATCCTTAGTAAGGATTGAAATTAAATTCTAAATTCCTGTAGTGTTAAATAAACAGGCTCAGCTTCATGTTCTCTATTTACTAGAGTTTTGATAATAAGAATAATAATGCATCAGTTTTATACAGCGCTTTTCTGGACACTCAAAGACACTTATTCAGCATTATTCAGCAGAGCATTATTCATTCACTCCATACTCGGTGGTGGTAAACCCTGGACAGACTGACAGAAGCGAGGCTGCCAATCCGCGCCATCAGCCCCTCCGACCACCACTATCACTCACACACACACCACTTTCATAGGCAATGTGGGTGAAGTACCTTGCCTAAGGACACAATGTCAGTTTTTACGACTTGCGCCCCACTGTAGTACCTGAATTTCCCAGCGAACTCCCATCCGAGTACTAACCAGACCCGGCTCTGTTTAGCTTCTGAGATCTGATGGACATATAGCTTATAGGGTTATGGTAAAGGTCAGGACCTTTTTATAAGTAGGGTGACCAAACATCCGTTTTTGCATCCTGTCCTGGGCGTCCGTTTTTTTGGTTTTTTTTTAAAGTGATGGAAATGTCCGGGTTTTCATTACCGTTCATTGGGGCTATTAAACTGAGCATCTCTCGTAGCTCTCTGTAACTCAGAAGGAGCGAGCGAGACACAAACAACATGCCGAAGCGCAAATGTGCATTTATTTGCATTTAAATGTTATTTGTACAAAAAATTCTCAGTTTTCCGGCCTGGTCGGGACAAGTGGAAGGCCATGTGCACAGGTTGCGAGGTGAGAGTAGCTCAATATCAAGGCCCCAAACCCCAACCCACAGTAAGGTGTCCGGGTTTTCACAAACGGAAATATGGTCACCCTATTTATAATGCTATGGGGTTGGTTCAGTGTTTTGTTGTAGGTTAATATTAGAATAAGTTTAGTGTTAAGATGAGAAGTTTAAGAATACACTTTAAGAATGTGGGGACATAGAGACATTTTCCCCCTTTCTTTAAAAATCTCACAGAAACGTGGGCCAAGCTCAATCCCTCACAAAACAACACGTGTTATGGCAGAACAGCAGTGCGCTTCATGTGTCCTATAAAACAAGGCCAGCCCTCTGACATCTCCTTCCTGATCAATGCTCTTTTAGAGGCGTAGTTTAGCGGCTAACTGGGCGACTCATCTCCTGTGACTGCACTCAGACATACAGCACATTAAAAGTATGAAATATACGTCCTCCGCTGTGGTGGAGGTGATGGAGATTCACAGCCAGGCTTTTAGCATCGGGGCTAAATGTTAGCTGGGAGTGTTTTGGCGGCCGCGAGCCCATAAAGCATAAATGGCGTGCACAGTTAGCGTTGCGTAGCGTTGTGTCTGCGTGCTGTATGACACGCTGCCAAAGGTGGGGTTTAGTGGCTCAAGGCTAAAGGGACCATAAAGAAAAGTTAATGGGGTGTGGCAGTGGCGTGTGATGGAGCGCAAAGCTAACACAGCAGGCACGCAGGCGGCTGTCACACTATGAACTGTGGGTAAGAGCCCTGAGATATTTTCCACTCTCACTACTTTTACACATGTTCTCACTTCACTCGAGCCTCATGTTTGAATCAATTCAACTCAGAATCAATAGTAATTAGATTTTTTTTTCAGTTTTATGGTCATTTACTAGGGATATAATATATCCTTATCCAATATTTTTTGCGATATTGTGGAGAAGCTATTGTAGACAGGATATTTATTGCTTTTAAAATACCTTAACAAGACTCAATGCTCAAATCAGTACTCCCAAAAATTAAAGTAAAAAACATACCGTATTTTCCGAGGTATTAGGCGCGCACTTAAGCCTCTAACCCTATCAAAAAACGGCCGCGCGCCCTGCAAGCCAGAGCACCCTATACACGAATCCACTCAGGTGTCCCAGCATGTTTTCAGTAAACTACAAAGCCACACCACCCACAGCGCACGCAAACACGCATGGATCAGACAGCGACCGCTCAGCGACAAACACCCACAGCCACACTCATCTCTCCACACGGACGAGGAACGGAACGGAACGAAGGAACGAACCAAAAAAGCGAGTGCAATGTGCCTTTCTGAGCCACAACTGGACAACTGAGTCACTGCGAACACGCCAACAATCCAGCGGTCCCAGACAGCACCCTGCCTACACGCCACAACTGAACAAAGCCCAGAGTCACCGTGAACGCCACAAACAAAGTCCGACTGACCCATCCAACTGTTGTGTTTCGTTTAAAGTCCATTGCGGTTTATTTGTGAAATAGTTCGAAAATAAACCATTTAATGACAGTGTGTCTTATAATCCAGAGCGTGCCTAATAGCCCAGAAAATACAGTATTTCTTCATGTTGTCTGCACTGAAATGAATCATGGTATATGGAGTTTCCTATGTTTCTTAGCTGTTACTACTATAAAACAATGGCTTTAAACAAATTAACTTGTGACTAGATAAATTGTGACAGAGCACAATATTATTGAGAGACCTTTTACGATACGATATCATGATATTTCGGGTATTGTTACATCCCTACCATTTACTATGTAGGCCTACTTATTTCAGTTTTAGTAGGCTTATTTGATCAGTTTTAAAACTTGTACATCTTACTTTATCAGTCTTTATGTAGCCTTCATAAAAAAAGCAATTCTACTGAAATGAGCTTGAAGATTTTACCTTTTGTGCATGTTTTAGGTTGATGAAAAAAAAAAACATTGCAGCTGGCAGTTTGAATCCCGCTCTTGACATAAAACATCATTGGTTGAGCATTCAGATCCAGTGACCCACAGGTTGCTGGTGCCCCTAGTGTCTACATACACTGGTTTATAAGTGTGCGTGTGAATGGGTGAGTGGTTCCCTGTTGTAAAACGCTTTGAGTGCCTTGACGGTGGAAAAGCGCTGTCACTAGGCTCAGGAGTCAAACACGGAACCTTCTTGCTGTGAAGCGAACAATCCAAACAATCAATGTGCCGTGAAATGTGAAGAGATCAAGAAAACATAATAAAAATACTTTGCTATTATAAACATTAGTGTGCAGATTTAATGGTGTAGATCTTCAGGTTCCATCCAGTACCCACACTTGCCCTTATCTATAGACAAACTTATAATAATCAACATCCCCCATTTCTATAAAAGAGACTCAACTCTTTGATTAAGGTGACCAGACATCCCTATTTACCCGGGACAGTCCCAGTTTTGAGCCCTGTGTCCCCTGTCCCAGCAGATTTATTCAAAAGATTGATTAATTTGTCCCAGTATACAAGAAATGTCCCAGGTGTCCCTATTTTTGACAAATTTCATCTCTGCAAACAGTAAAGTGAAGCATACATTGTCATCTGTTTAGGTAAAATGCAAAACAATTTTCCTTAACTACGCACTTGTTTCACACCACCAAAAAAAAAAAAAAAACAGGAACGCCCCAGTTTTTTATTTTGAAATTCTGGTCACCCTATGTTTGATTTATGACAAAGTCGACATGGCACAGATGACCACAGGGCTGTACAGCAGTATGTGTATGTATGTTTGTGTCTGAGTGTATGGGAGACTCACCGCGGGGCCTGGGGCTGTGGTGGCAGGGGCAGCGGTGGCAGTGGGCTCAGGCAGGAGAGGAGGAGGGGGAGGGGCAGGAGCCAGGCTGGGGCACCTGCCGATGTCAGCGTTCACAAAGGACACGGGCTGAGAGAAGTCCGACAGGCTGCAAGAGACACAGCAGTGGTTAAGAGTTTGCGGTTATTCCCCTGTTACCTTATGCAATCTGAGCATCCTAATTACTCACCACAATGTTTTTATAGGCACTTTTTACAACTCTCAAAGACCAGTGCACAGTTTGTTACAAAGGTAAAACTAACAACAACAAGCATTCTAACACCCACTTGATTAATAAACAATAAAATACATTATAATTAGATGCAGACAGCACACAGTGGACATAATAATTTGACCTCAACAGCTGCTTCAATATAAAGTATCTGTACGGTAGCAGAATATATTTTGCTTAAATATATGGAAAACTATTAGGTAGAGAGCCCAGAGGGAGTATTCAGCTTATTTAATTGTGTAATTAGTAAGGATTTTTATGAATCTGAACTCTATTTAATAACAAAGTGAGATAGACCAAACGGAAAGGCATGAATTTGGTTGACATGGCAAAAGAAATTATTATTATTGATTAAATCTACCTGTCACTCACACAGAGCTACAAAAAATAGACATTTCAAACTTGATTTCGATACTAAGGAATAGACCAATACACGACGACACCACAATCATAATAAAAAAGCACTCTTTAGTTATACAATAGAATATGATTTTCAATATTAAATAATGGTACTTTCTTTTATATTTTCATGTGGTTTTATATCTGTGTAATCCCTCAGTGGTCCATGGGCGTATACGAGTCTACGTGCATTTATACTTGTTCTGATACAGCTCAAGGTCATTCTAAAGCGATTCAGAAAAGATTCATTTCTGTCCTGTGAATCAGACTTATTTAGTACTGATACTTGCTCAAGAGACTGTAGTTTAAATACTAGTTTTAGTATCGATTAGTATATTTGATTTTCAATACTGTGGAAGGGGAAAAATGTCTGTGTGTTTAAACAGAGAAGCACTGAATCACAACACAACAATATCACCGAAATAGCAGATCAAGAGAAGGATCAGAACACATTTCGATTTTTATCATTTTATTGTCCAGTGCTACTTTAAGATATAGGAACCAGACCACAATGGCACTTAAAATTACTGCTACTTAAGCTACTTACAGGGTTCCCACTCTTTTTCAAAATTTCAGAACTTTTCAATGGATTTTTCATGACCTAAAGTGAATTTTCCATGACTTTACGGCACCTATATGTGTAGAAATGATCAGTCTTTTAGGGCTAAATATGAAATGTTAATCATTTCCACTCACCTTATGGTTTGGCATTATAGTTTTTTAACATTCAAAATACTGTCAGTGCATTTATTGTCGTCTCTTTTAAACAAAAGGCGCCGACGTTCAAAAATAATCATAATAGTCTAATGATAAGTTAACAGAACGCTCTAGTTGCGTGAAAGAGACTCTAAAATCCCATGACTTTTCCAAAACTTTCATTGAAATTACAAAATTCCAGGATTTCCATGACCGTGGGAACCCTGTACTTACTATAACTTTAAAACTATGATTTAATTTATTACTGATATCTGGCACGTCCCAATTCTAAGACATTTTTATAGTTATTTTCAAAAGTAATTAACAAATACCATACATCACAATACATTCATCATATTGAGCTAAGCCACAGAGACAATTATACAAGGATCAGTAGCGAAGCACTGGGGTGAAACCAGGTAAAAAGTAGAGTCTGAGAGGAGAGCGAGAAGTCTGATTTGAGTTATGAGAAGGTTTATGACGGAGGACAGCTTGATTACTGCTGTAGACGCAAAATGAGACCAAGCCTTTATCATAATCATAACATCGTGACCTCCGACTGAACAGCTAACTACATTTGAAGTAGAGGAGGCAATTAAGCACGATGGCAAAACGGGAAGACGGCAAGATGGTAACTGTGTGCTTTTACAGTAGAGGTCGACTTAAGAAGACACAAATGTGGTTTTATTGACTTAAGAGTGCCACATATTGAAGTCAAGAGCATAGTAGTAGTAGGGTAAGTGGTTGTAGTAGAAGTAGTAATAGAGCTGGTATCACAAGTAGTAATTTTACTGAAGGACAACTAGAAAAAAGTTGGAATACTGTAGTAACTGTAAGAGTACTGGAAGGAGTTGTAGTATAGGTAGTAAGAGTACTAATAATACAAAAGTAGATGCAGTAGGCTAGTGGTAGTAGAAAATGAAGTAGAAGAATGTCATAATATTTGTGGTTGTAGTGGTAGTAGTAAAAGTAGTGGGAGTTAATAGCAGTGGTGGTGGTAGTAGTCAGAACTGGGGACTTGCAAGTCATGACTTGGACTCGAGTCAGACTTGATCACTATTTTTAGGATTTGAGACAAAATGGACTAAGACATGGGACTCGACTTGGACTTGAACTCTGTGACTTGAGAAGACTTCTCCCAAAATATGTTTTTAGAAAATACTTTTCTCTTTGCAGTTGATATTCCCACTTCTTTGTTACTTTGGATGTAAGTAAAATACCGTAATGTAGATTCCTCAAATGTACTACAGTAATATACAATACAACAAAGTAAATGTGGGAACTACATAGTACACGATAATTCCATTTCAGTGCAGACTACATGACAAAATAAGTGCATTTTAAATCTTAATTCTTTCTATTCTGACCATAATGATTCACACTAAGATCTTGTCAAGACAAGTCAAAAATGCATTTCTGCAACTCTTATATAAATATTGTATGCCTTTTTAAGTACAATTTGGTTAAAATTCATATAAATTGCAAAAATCTAAGCTATATTTGGTACTTTGGCTTAAAGACTTGAACTGATTTGAAGCTCAAGGCAGACGACTTGGACTTGACTTGGGACTTATGGGCCAGTGACTTGAGACTTGATTTGCACTTGCCTATTTTTGACTTGGGACTTGACTCATACTTGAGGTCAAAGACTTGAGACTTACTTGAGACTTGCAAAACAACAACTTGGTCCCACCTCTGGTTCTAGTAGTAAGCAGTGGTAGTTGCAGTGGTATTAATACTGGTAGTTGTACTAATAGTAGTGATGGTCAGAGTAGGAGTGGTAGTAGTACTGGTATAAGTGAGAGGTAGTAATAATAGGAGTAGAAATGGTAGTAGGGATAGTACTAATGGTAGTGGTATTGGAATTAGTAGTAGTCGGAGTAGTAGCAGCATCAGCCAATCACAAAATCAGTCAATATTTTGTTGTTTACTCAAGAAATACACTTTACAAAACTGCTTTGCTTTCTGTAACTAACTTTTTTGTAATTAAAGTACAAGTCTTAAGAATAGTACTCTTTACAAAACTGCTTTGCTTTTTGTAACTAAAGTTTTCATGGTAACTTCTCTTTGCCTTCAGACTGAAATAAGAAGCTCCACCTCTGTGACTGTCGGAGCGCTCAGAGGAGGAGGAGTTAGCTGGTCAGTTGTGCCTGCGTCAGTGCTTTAACTCGGGCTAAACACATAGAATCCTGCTGCTGACTCTGGTGCTTTTAGGTCTGATTTATCTGAAGATGTCAAGGGCCCCCCACACTCTGAATCCATCACCTCTCTCTCCCTCCTCCTCCTCCTCCTCCCTCTCGCTCAAATGGCCAGTCTCACTTATTCCAGAGTCCTTCTTGATTTGATCTGATTATAGCGCAGGGCCTGACAGCGTTTTAATAGAAAAATCAGATTTCATTTGCATGGGTAGAGGCAGGAGCAGCCCGGGTCGCGGCACAATGGAAATCTTAGCGCTGTCTGGACGTGGTTCAAATAGTAAATGTAAAAATGCGACTAATGATTTTGGCACTGGAAGTTCTTACTTACTCATGTCACTGTTGCTCGGTGGCATTTGAATATAAGACATGAAACACATATATCTAGAGTTTATGAGCCATAAAGATTAAAATATAAAGCATGAATAAATATTACAAATTTGTTCTTATAAAAATACATATTAAATTCGAAATACCTACTAGATGCCAACTGCTGTGATTACTTGTTGATAATAACACTACACTAATATGAAACAAAAATGCCACATGTATTTCTGTCTTTAGTCCTTGTGAAAAAGGCGTTTGATATCCCCTAATGTTTCTTTAGTTGGGTCTGTTAAAGATGCATTATGTGCCTTTTCAGGTAGAGGGTTATGGTGTGTTCAGACGGCAGTGTCAAAAAACACCCTAGAAGCCTCTATGTGGACACCTTTCTACTGCAGTTCAGATGCCCCAAGCACGCGTCTTGGATCAGTCCTGATCTAGTCCTAGTCCAGTCCTGGCAATCGGCTTGGTGACTGCGGCGTGTATATATTTATACCGGGCTAATGACTGCTTTAGCTTTAGTCCTGCTTTAGTCCTGCTTTAGTCCTGCTTTAGTCCTGGTTTAATCCTGGTCTTGTACCTGGTCTAGTCCTGGCGATTGGCTCAGTGATCGCAGCGTATATATTGTATAGTCCGTTAATATTTGTGGCTCTCCGCCCCTGTTCTTGAGTCTTTCTCTTTCTTCCAGAAAATAACGTCGCTACATCAACTTCTGCATCATGCATCAATAGAAAAAAGGCTCAAGGCATGCCACATTGATTTTGTTGTTTTTTCAATTAAAAATCATTCATATGAAGTATTTATATTTATGTTTAAATAATTATATGATGTATTTACACTTGCCGCCGAATTTTCGTCACCTGACAAGTACGAGACCAGACAGTGACACTCGGCGCACGTGCAGAGTTCTGTAGTGAAGTCTAGGACAGTAAAATGGTTTGTGTTAAAGTACAAAAAGCTGACAGACAGTGCTGAGTTTTCAAAGAATAGTGGACAACCAATTATTTTTTTGTTCAGTGTAAGGACCATGCAGTTCGTCTGATATGTAAAGAAAGTGCGGTGGTTTTCAAAGAATATAATCTGCATCATCAGGGTCGGGGGAATTCTGTTATACGGCCGACCCGACCCCGGCCCCCATCACAGTCAGGAGCCATAATGTGGCCCCCAGAGAAAAAAAAGTCTGGTGACCCCTGTTGAAGAGTATAAACTATTACAGATTATTTGCGTTAACAAAATACAACATATCTATACTAATGTGATTACATGTTTAAACTATGTGTAACTTACACAGTGTTGATCATGAGGTTCCAGATACAGCCCTTGAAAGGCACATTGACTTGGCTGGAGGTCTGCGCCACTTCTGCTGGGAAACCTCCCAGGAAAACCCTCTGGAACACCATGGGCTGGTCGTGAGGAAGACCCACCTCCTTCTTTGGCTCCTCATCCACCTGCACTGCAAAGGCTCTGACAGAACAATCACAAGTTTAACATAAAAAAGAAAGTGGTAAAAAAAATAAAATCACAAAATATACATGAATGTGAAGCAGTTTCCCACAACTGTAATTTGTGAACACGGACTATGCACACCAAAAATCCAATCTAATTTCTGGATTATTGAAATGTCATGTAAACAGTTCTGATGCGATCTGATCTGAGTACCTTTTTATTGTTCAGCGTAGGTATTGACAGGAATAATTATGCAAAAAGGAAAGATTTTCAACAATGAAAAATGTTAAAGAGTCAAACAGTTATTTTAAAAGGCATTGTACTTTGTCTTCCAAATACAACAGTTACTTTTTTCCTCTGTGTTATGAGCTTCAGTTGCTTCATTTGACCATCAGAAGTCCATGTTTTACCACCACGATCCTACTTAAGTGTGACTCACCTGCCGGCCAGCCTCTCGATGCGCAGTGAGTGCTCCCGCCCGTCGTGGAGGATGCCCTGCTCTGGGCGCCTGATGACCCTGCGTGGGGTGTGAGTCCCAGTGAAGAGCAGCACCTCCAGAGCGCCCTGGTTCAGCATCACCGACAGGTACGGCTGCAGCACAAACACAGGCCAACTTACTCACAGCGCTCACAAATGTAGGCAAATGTGTTGTGCTGGAGGAGTGTTCAAGTCTCCTCTTAAGACCCATTGTTATTTATTGGATTCTAGCGCTGTGTGAGTTGTGTGGTCCCCTGTGCCTTCTTATAATTTTATTTATTCATTTAATAGCTTTTTTTCTTCACATTTTTACTGTTATTTATTGTTTTTTAGCTACTTACTTGTTGTTTTAAAGCTACCCTCTGTAAGTTTTTTAATTTTTCAATATCAGATATGAAATCTCCCCTCACCTGGCTTTGGTTCAGACTCACCTGTGCTCTCTAGTCTTCTTCTGTTAGACCAAAGCTGGTAAACTATCAGATTGCAGTGATTTCGTGGTGTTATGTGAGAAAGCAACAGGACTGGGTTGGCTAGTTTAATTAAAGATGGTAGCTTTAAGGTATTCTCTTGGTTTTCCTGGTTTTATTTTGATTATTTCTTTCATGAGCACGAGAAAAATTGTTTTGGGTTTTTAATGATGTTTTGCGCAGCCCTTTGGACATGTTCAGTTTACAAAAGGTGCTATATAACTAGAGCGGTTTGGATTAAGTCTTGGGAAATAGTAAAGATTTTGACTACTTGTCGATAGCATAGATGGACAAAAGGGTAAAATCGTTGGTCTGTCAGAGGACTAGGAAAAGCCCATGTGAGAGCAGCAGAGCACAGAGAGGCAGAGGTGTGCAGACAGACAGAGGTGGTGAGAGCAGCCGAGCAGGGTCAGGCTAATTTGAATTTTAATTCAGTGTGTGCCAGAGGGCGAAGTGGGAGACAATTTACCACCTGAAAATGGAATTTCAATTTGAGGTGGGGACAAATTGAAGTGAGATGTAGCTACAACATGAGGCTGGGCGCGCGCCTCGCTCCCACAAACCCATAAAGACGCACACACGTGAGCACGCGGAGACAGCGGCGTGTCACGCAGAGAGACAAAGGCACTTTATCACAAATGAACTCACATGTTCAGTCAATTTATACAAGAAGAGGAAACACACAGGCAGGAGCAAGCAGACACTGTGGAGACCAATGCATACACAATCATGCAGCTGCTAGGGTCAGGTATAGTGCAAGTGGGTTTTCAACTGGGTAACTATCACAGCTACTACTACAGTATCACTGATGCTACTGCTACTAGTGCATCGTGTACTACATCCACAGCACCACTGCCCCTGCTGTTTGTCTGCAGGTAAAATAACACTTTTCCTATGCATTGTTATGCTCAGAATATGAACACAGATTTACGACATTTATTACTACTACAACCTATAGAGGGATTATGAGACTATGTGACTTTGCATTCTACTGCATGTGTCTCCTGCAGAAAGTCACTGTCCTGTCTGGTATCATGTCAGTGTCTTGTAGGATTTCAGCAGATTTGAGGCTCTCTCGGGGGCGGGGCTAGTTCTATCGATCAGGTATGAGTGGATGTCCCTCTACTGAAGTTTGAGACATTTCTTCTCGTCATTTACGCACTCACCTGCATTTAACACATACGGGTCATTAAGTCATATCCCCCTCACTAATGTTCATTTAGCATCATAACTTATTTTATCACACGGCGATAAACTGTTTTAGTGCTGACAACATTGCGAGCTAGTGTTGCAACTTCATGTTAACCGCACAAACAGCGGCTGTCTCTACACTCTGCTGCGCTCGCATCCGCTGTGCTGATAAACAAATAATCCGTCTATAGCTTACATGTTTATAATACCAACACTACCCTGCATTTTAATAATACTACAACCACAGCAATAGAAACAATAGGGTTTAGTAGTATCAACAATCACTACTGCAACTACAACATTTTGTCAGAATAATACCATACCAACTTTATTTATAAAGCACTTAAAAAACTTTACAGCTGGCCAAAGTGTTGTAGACAAACACAGGATAGACAAGGACAATCGCAGTACAAGACAATACACAATATAAACGCAATATAACTATAACAATATAACAATAACAATATAACTACTAAAAACACAAAAAACAATAAGATACTCCACAAACAAGAAATGTACATGTCGCTTGATAAAAGCCAGTGAAAAAAGGTGCGTATAATCCTTCATGCCTGTCTTTGGGACTCATAGAACCATAGTTACATTCATAACTTTCAGGTAAAATGAGTCTATTGGACTTTTATGTTTGAATAGTTGAAATAGTTTAGTCTGTTGACAAAATTCTGCCCCCCATCCAAAAGACTAGTTAGCAATAGGGATGTAACAATATCCAACTCTCTCGTTACGATATTATCACGATATGCATCTCACGGTATGATATTTATTGAGATATTTTGGAGAGGCTGATATAATTGTAGGGAGCTTTTTTGCTTTTAAAATACCTTGACAAGATTTTGGTGTGAATTATTTCCATCATAATCCCAAGAATTCAAGTAAAAAACATATTTCTTTATGTTGTCTGCACTGAAATGAATCATTGGGGTATGTAGTTTCCAAAGTTTTAAAGCTGTTCCTACTTTAAAACAATGCATTTAAGCAAAGGAACTTATAATACGATACTATTGTGAGACATTTGACGATACGATATCACGATATTTCGGTTATTGTTACAACATGGCCATTTTCCTGAATAAAATGCGTGAGGTTATCCTTTACGTCGTCAGATTTGAATCAGTCCGTTACTTACTCAAAACACTGAGTCATTCCAAACTTTTCCTAACCTTTCTTAAATGTCCTTACATCCTCCCTCATTCTCTCCTCTTTCTCTATTCTCCTCTCTCCTCTAAACATCCCTCCCTTCTCTCGTCTCCTATCCCCTCTGCCTCCCTCTCTTTCCCCTTTGTCCCCTTTCTAACATCCATTAGTCAGGGCCAAGTTGAGTTGATGGTGTTTTTAACCTCTCTTAACCTTTTGGCGGCATAGACACACTCGCATACATACATACACACACAAACACACACACATATACACACACACATATTGCTCTGCCTGCCAGCGTAGTTAGTAAAAATAGATTTATGCATCCAACGAGCGGCGATGATGGATAAGCTATGGCTAACCCCTGTCCCCCGTGCGGTGCATAGACTGGAGACGGGGTAAGCAAGTTTCACAGTGGAGGACATGCATAGTAATGACGGTGGGAGACTGAGATGCAAGCAGAGATAAAGGGTTACACATGCGAGTTCTAGTTATGGTGATGTGGTAGAAGGAACATGAATAACAGTAAGAATGAATTAGTACTCTTATCTTATAATGTGCTCCAATAATAATAACCAGAGGTGGGACCAAGTCGTTGTTTTGCAAGACTCAAGTAAGTCTCAAGTCTTTGACCTCAATTCCGAGTCCAAGACAGGCAAGTCCAAGTCAAGTTTCAAGTCACTAGCCCATAAGTCCAAGTCAAATCCAAGTCTCCTGCTTTGAGCTTCAAGTCATTTCAAGTCTTTTAAACTCAAGTACCAAATATAGCTTAGATTTTATGGTATGGTATATTTATATATGAATATTGTTATAAGAGTTGTAGAAATGCTACTTATTCCTTTTTAAATGTTTTGGCAACAACTTAGTGTGACTCATTACGGTTAGAATAGAAATAATTAAGATTTAAAAATGCAGCTATTTAGTCGTGTAGTCTGCACTGAAATGGAAGTATCATGTTCTCTCTAGTTCCCTCTGTATTACAGTATTGTACTGTATACCATGATAATATTGTACCAAGAGATTTGGATATTGTTACATCACTATATATTATGCAAGATTGACACTTTTGAGCTTTAACTCATGTTAGAAGGCTGTTACAAAATGCTCTATTCCAACCTCTGATGCCATGAAGTGGTAGTTTTTAAGTTAACATCTTCCTTTTACCTTTTGTTCAGTAGAGACTGGGTGAAATTTTCCACATGATTCTAGTGAAGGTGTATGGAGTTTATAAACACAGTGGAGCAATTCCTGTGTTACCATGTGACATCACCAAGGTTTGTGTGTTAAACTTGTGTGAATGAAACAAATCACAACGTAAGGTTTTTGTTGAGGAAACTATTATAGATCAGAAAACAGTGTAATACAGTAGCCAGGCTGGCACCACCTAGTGCCTCTGCTCAATTTAATTTCTCTCCAGCGACTAGGTCAGGATTCAGAATACACTAGACGGTTTGCAAGAACCCCAGAAGTGCGAGTTCAGGCACCAGCCAATCAGCAAAGAGCCATACATTCTGTGTTGGCAACAATTCCCGAGATCGAGGACTTAAAGCCAGAACAAAGAGAATGTTTGGTGAATTTTATCAAGGGGAAAGACGTTATTGCCATTCTTTCTATGGTAGTACCTCCCTAGTAGAATTATTATTTTTTCAATAAGGAAGGTGATTCCCGCAAAGCTCATGTTAAGAGGGAGAAATTATGTAAAATATGATAAAGAAGTTTCCTCTGCATAAACTTGAGTTATTTTAATTGATTTATGGATTGGCTTGTCCTGTGTTTGTTTTCACCTACTCCCTATCTCCACCCACTCAACTCAAGATTACTCAAGATTAAAAAAAAAAAAAAAAGTCTAGGAGACTAGTATAAAATGACATGTGGCCATTTTTAACCACTACTACAACTTTTATCAAAGGCACTTTATTTTTGGATGTCACTATATGTTAAATAAAAATAATGACAAATTATAAAAATCAAACAGCAGCCAAAAAAAAGAGGACTATTTGTATAAAACTGATGGTCCATTAGTGTACAATGTTTTAACTTGATTAGCTCAGCTGGCCAAATCTCATTAATATGCACTCAGATCCACTTCATTCACTTAAACAGAAGCCTTAGCTGCCCGGTCAGCTAAAAGCTAAAGAACCCTCCCTCCGCTGGACACAGGCTGGCTGACATTACGTCCACATGTTTCCAAAGTTGTGTGCGTTTTGGAAATCAGACAATCCTGTTAGCTCTGAAGCCAACAAATGCTAATCTCATTAATATGCACTTATACAAAAGAGAGGACGCTTACCTCGCCCGACTGACGCCTCTTCCTCTTGTTGTTGTAGTAGTTTAAGTTACGGGCCTGAAAAGAAAGCATTAAAATGTATGAAAAAAACTGTTTAATACAAATATTAACAAGACTTTGACAATGAGGATAGTCCGTCATCTCTAGTTTTTGCTTTGATATAGCAAAATTGAAAATAAAAATAGAAAAAATAGGAGTAAGATCAAGAAGAAATGTCCAGATGAGCATCCGAGAATGTTTTTGATGAAGGAAAATTGGTTAAAAGCTCAAATCATTTTGCATATTATGTGTCCTTAACTCTTTCCCCCATGAAGACGACACTACAACCCATACTAGACTGACCAATAGGATTCAAGGATGCATTTCGCAGATTTTTTCTGAAGTTAATCAAAGTAATGACGATTGCAGCTTCCAGAAAAAAGACAACATGAAACACGAGTAATGGAAAGACTGCGGCGCACAGTTTTAGAAATAATGAGGAGTGGGTGTATTTTATGGATAACTTTAGAGAAAGTAACTTTTCTAAATTTCAAAGTGATGTTGATTTCAGAGAGTGAAACTTACGAAGGTGAGAATGCCTGCATAAAGTCCTGCGAACAAACTATCCAGGACTTTATACTCGATTATGAACCAAAATTGCCCCGAAATGTGGATGTTGCTCAGGCTAATCCTTTGAAATATTTCAGTCTTTTTTTTTTAAGATGAGAAGCTGAATGTAGTTTTTTCTTTCAGATTTTGCACCTGACCGGGTAAACTCTCATTTTCAGTGAGCTTTTATGATCCTGTAAATGAGTTGAATCACATTTAAACATCCGTAAATGAATAATTCAGAGTCTAAGGTTTCTAGAAATACCAAATATGTCTGTGTTTCTATAAAGTTCATGAGTGTGAAAATCATTTATAATCACTCATGGAAGTCTGTTTTCTTTTATGCAATTATGCTCTATGTTTAGCCCTAGTAATACATGTATGGGTTGTTCCTAGTCGGCGTCCAAGGGGGAAAGAGTTAAGGCAGATAAGTAAACTAGCAGCAATGACTTGGTGGATATTTATGCCATTTATGCGTTTCTTCTACTCACTGCGACTGATTAAACCGGAAACAACGCCCCAAAACCCCTTCCCTCCTTGGCACTTGTGTTTACAGTGACGCTGAGCTGAGGACACAGCTGCTCACACGGGCTGTAATGTCCACTGACCTGCTGAGCGACAGGGGCGGACCCTCCCACCGCCATCAGCACGGTACCAGTGTCGTTCAGGGTGCTGAAGGACAGGCTGATCTCTGTGGCGACGGCCAGGGACAGCCCCTTCAGCTCCATGTAGCCGGCCTTTGAGAAGCTCACTGTGTACAGGTTCTACAGCAGCACAAACACAAATGAATTATAAAGTTATGATTAGATGTAAACATTCAGTCTATGTAAAAAAAAAGAATAGTAAGAGTAAATGTCAGGACCTAACATCTGATTTTTTAATTCGAAGAAGAATAAAGCATCAGATAATATAAGATAAACAACCTTAGGCTACAATCCGGTGTGTTTACATTCATGTTGTGTCATGTTTGTGTCATTTGTCAAAATCAAATAAACAAATAAACGGGTATTTTCAAAAGATAGACCTAGAAATTTGAAAAGGTATTAGTAAAAGTAAAAGTATAATCATTTCATATTGTCAACATAAAGCTGTTGTCGCTTGCCTGGTTCAGTTCTGGTTCAGTCCTCAGTTCAGTTCAGTCCTCAGTTTCAGAGTCCTTGTTTCAGTCCCTGGTTCAGTCTCAGTCCTGGTCCCTGGTTTCAGTCCTGGTCAGTCTCAGTCCCGGTCTCAGTCCCTGGTCTCAGTCCCTCAGTCTGGTCCTCAGTCCCGGTCTCAGTCCGCAGTCTTAGTTCTGGTCTGGCCCCAGTCTCAGTCCTGGTCTCAGTCCCGGTCTGGTCCCAGTCTCAGTCCTGGTCTGGTCTGGTGTCGATCTCAGTTCTGATCACCCTACAGTCTACGCGGTCACACCTCCGGGCCTGTCTCGACACTCCTGGTTCAGTCCCGGTTCAGTCCTGTAACTGTCAATCGATCGTTAACAATTTTGTCGATCATGTTCATTTTTAATTGACAAACTGAATGTAGGTTCGCTGTGCGTAGCGTAAGGAGACGAGGCGCAAACACTGGAGTTGTGGCCTCACGGTCCCACGTTTCACCTCTAGCACCTCCTTGGAGATCACTGTACCACTCACTGAACGAGCTTATCAGTGTCCCGGGTATGAGCGGGTTTTTTGAGTATCCCGGTGTCGTCATGGTGCATGTAAACCCAGTATCCTTTTCAGTCTTTTCATCACAACAGTAGCCAAAATAAATAAAGTTACCAACATAAATAAAGTGAGTGAAATGACTAAACCTGCACACGTGTGATCTCTGAAAACATGAACCATCTCCAACATGATATACGCACAGTTCAGTCAGAAATCAGTTTGAAAAATAAGTTCAGCCTTTCATTTACATCTCTCACCTAAAAATAAAATGAACACTGTATTTAAACACATCTGTTCTTTGTCTGGTTGGGTTAGTTTTGTTCTACTCAGTTTGATTTAAGTTACCCCAGTCTGGCCCGGCTTTTTGTTAACGACTTACCTAATCTGAGCCTATGTTAAATTATTATTACTTTTTCACTTTATTAAATTTAAACTTATTTTTATACCTTGTCTTTGCCTTTCTGTTTGGACCACTACATAAATACCTGTGACTTCGTAAAAAAAGATGACTCTATAAGTTTGTATTTTTACATTTCTGCAGTTATGTTGTATTTTGTAATGAATAATTTGAACATAGGAGGAGATCAGTTCTAAAATACACCGCCCTTTAACCTTTCCTTGTACATCTGCTTGTCATGGATGTCTAAATACCTGGATGGTTGTGCATTATTGATAGAAACAGGAAGTCCGCGCTGATTGAGATGTGCGAAGTGTTGAACTGGGAGCAGAGAAACTCAAGGTCGTCAACAGGTGAATGAGCAGGAGAGGTTATCCGGGTGCTGTCTGCGTCGGTATAATTTATGTAATATGTACTGTGCCTTACATATTTATACTGGTGCTACTCATCGCCTGACACGCGCCTAATGGACTATTGATAAAGCTGCAGAGGTGCGATGGAGAATGTGGGATAGGATTTCAATACGGCTGCTCGGGATGAGGATTGATTTAATAAATTTGTGTCTTGATAAAATGTGAAATATTCAGACTAATATACAAGTTTTACAGTGATCCAGGCTGCCACAACCTTTTCTTTTGGCATAAGTTTTACACTGGGTCAGATTCTAACTATAGCAATTCTACTATTAAATTACTATTAGTCAGTGGTGTAGCAGGGACTTTCCAGGACTGAACTAGGACTAAACCAGGACTGAACCAGGACTAAACCAGGAGTAAACCAGGACTAAACCTGGTCTAAACCTGGTCTAAACCAGGTCTAAACAAGGACTAAACCAGGATTAAACCAGGACTAAACCAGGTCTAAACAAGGACTAAACCAGGTCTAAACCAGGACTACACCAGGACTAAACAAGGACTAAACCAGGACTAAACAGGTCTAAACCAGGACTACACCAGGACTAAACCAGGACTAAACCAAGGACTAAACCAGGACTAAACCAGGACTACACCAGGACTAAACCAGGTCTAAACCAGGACTACACCAGGACTAAAAACAAGACTAATCTAAGGACTAAACCAGGTCTAAACCAGGACTAAACTAAGACTACACCAGGACTAAACCAGGACTAAACCAAGACTAAAACAGGACTAAACCAGGTCTAAACCAGGACTAAACTAGGACTACACCAGGTCTAAACCAGGACTAAACCAAGACTAAAACAGGACTAAACCAGGTCTAAACCAGGTCTAAACCAGGACTAAACTAGGACTACACCAGGACTATACCAGGTCTTAACCAGGACTAAACCAGGACTAAACCAGGAGTACACCAAGTCTAAACCAGGACTACACCAGGACTATACCAGGTCTAAACCAGGACTAAACCAACATTAAACCAGGAGTAAACCGTGTCTAAACCAGGACTATTTAAAATTTTTACTTTACATGCCTGTAAATATAGGTTTGTTTGTTATATAAAAATGATCAAACATATTTAAAGTCCCCGTATGTAACTTTGAAGCAAAATAGCACGCTTTATTCATTTTGGTTGTTTTTATTGCCCTGAAAAAACTTACAAAAACATGCATCCTTACTGTGAGCGTGGTTGCAAAAAAATTGTCTTTACTCTAATCTTCTGTAATCTAATTTTACGTCACAGAACACAAACTGGGACAAATCTAAAAGAGTCTATTTCAACATTTCCCCTTAAGACACGGATGTAGTAGAATAGTATTTTGTGTACATACTCTAAGTAACTTTAGCATGTCCTCGATACAGCCCCGGTCTAATGAGCTCCTTACCTCCACAGTACATCCCTTGGTGACCCCGGTGTAGTCGGAGCTGCTGAGGAGATTATATGGAGTCCTGGACACTTCGATGTCCCTCAGGCAGCCGGCATAGCGCTTCAGCGTGACCTCTGACCTTTGAGGAGGAGAGCCATCATTAGTTACAGCTCATTTACATACAGGGCATAGGTAACACAAGGACGAAAAGGACTGGAGCAAAGGAAGCAGCTTGAGAAGGAACTGGATAGCTGCAGCTGAGAAGAAAGTGCGACTTGTTTTAAGGTCTTTTAACGTCTGTCTGTCTCAATCAGAGCTACAATATTTCACATTGAAACAAAAATGTGTAAGCCAGTGTGCTATGCCAGCGTTATAATTTGAAGTGATATAGCCTCGTTACTAGCGGCAAGTGAATTGAACGTATTATTGCTGAAGAGACAAATGTCAAAGTCAAAGTCAGATTAATAAACTGTGGAAAAGCCTTAGGAGCGCGGATCAGCCAGTAACAGTATAATCAAAGATCAATAATGTACATTTGCGCTTTGCTGTAGCATTAGCGTTTTGAGCCTCATGCAGCGTGGGTGTATACTGGAAAATATAATTGTTTACCTGGCAACCATGCTGTTAAGATAAAACATAATGATTCATTAGACAAAATACACAACACATTTTCAAATATATCATTACATTAAAACAGGGATGCCCACGCTTTTGATCTACCAACTACAAAGCCAAACAAACTGTACTGCACTAAAACACTCTGCGCCACTTTTTTACACTCTCACCCACAGTTTGAGAACCCCTTCTTTAAGAAAACTTACACTGGCACTTTACAGAAAACTGAAAAAAGCAAAGAAAGTGAGTAGGATTTTTGAACCTGTTTTTTCAAGTTCCAAACTGGAGTTACATTCTCTTACTGGTTTTGCGGTGGGATTGAGCCTCTGCACATTTACCAAACCAACCGCACATTGTGACAAATACAGATACATTTGTGCACTTTTATTAGGCAAACTTCAGCCACATGTCGCGGTAGTTCTGTTCTGTGCTGTAGGCTCCTCTGTGCCAACACTGTAACATAAATTTAGATTAGTTTTTGATTCGAGTTTTGTCTTGCCCTACTAATCAACGTGCACTGAGGAGGAAGTCTGTGTGTGCTGTACGCGGCGAGGAGTGGCGCGCTGATGTGAGGCAGATGGACAGATTGTAAAAAGTTTAACCTGCCCTGTGATACGCGCTGGTACGTGCTGTTGCGGACAAGATACGTGCAGGGAGTGTGTGTGTTTGTGATGTGCCGCGCAGTATCCGTACTACAACACTGCGATCTACCCATACTACCTTGACGATCAACTGGTAGATCGCAATCAACGTACTGGGCAAACCTGCATTAAAGGCTGTAAAAGAAATCTCATTTTGTCATTTAAGTGCAGCCCTTGCATGCGCCATGTCTGCCCAAAATAGAGATTTGTAGTTACCTGTAGTTCCCGATAGTGGGCAGGCCTCCGAAGTAGATCCTCTGGTTCTCTCTGAGGTTGAGTCCAGTAGCTGAGCCCTGGGACACGGCCACGATTCTCTCCTCTGCCCCACTGTCAATGTCCACTACGGTCACAGTGGCTTTGGAACAGACAGACATAAAACCTTTTCAGACTGAGGTAGACCACATTCACAAGACCATTAAATGTAAAGCTACGCCTTTTAAAGAACTCACTGGCTTTAAATTGTAACGATAACCTGTGCAATCAGTGATGGGTTGAAAAATATACTTTAATTTACTAAATCGTAGTTTTCAGACACCACACTTTAATTCAACTTGAGAAATATATTTGGGAGTATAACAAGTCTTTTATGTTGATAATATTAAAGCATTGAAACATTTGTGTGACATGTCTCTTTTATATGATTTAGTGTTTATAATTTCTGTGGTCTATCCATTTTTCCAGATTTTTTGCATAATTTATTGTTTCGTTCTTTCACTAACAAAATTATAAATCAGATGTTGCATCAGATAGTTGCTCTAATTTGAGTAGTAGTTTCAGCCTAAACTTTTTTCACCCATAATCTCCTGGATCACTACTTTTACTTGAGAACAATTTTTGGTAACTCCACCCCTGTATCCATTTGACCTTCACTCCTGGTCAATATTAAATGGCTGAAGTTGAATTGAAATATATATCTATGTAAAACCTACCTTGTTTCTTGTTCCTGGACATGGTGAGGGATTTCCAGTGTCCGTCATTGTGGCGTTGTGTTGAGATGGCACTGCCCACACCAGAGCCAAGGTCAAAGTTCACCTTCACTTTACCCTCTGACAGTTCCAGAGACATGAAGTCCTTCTGTAGAGACATGAGAGGAGTGCGTGAGCCACAACATGGATAGAAAACTGTACAAATAAGAACTCTGATTACAAACAGAACCCACCATGTCTTGTGTGGCCAGGTACATGAGCAGAGCGTCGGAGGTGAAGGTGCGGAACTTGAAGGTGACTGTGGAGACGTTGGGGTTCCACCTGGTGGGACGGGCCACTGCAGCATAGCCCTCCCCGTCCAGCTGCACTGTGCCCTCACCATCCGACTTCTGAGGGCTACAAAACACACAGGAATGCAGCATATGGTTTGAATAAACATTTTGTCTATAGTACTGTATTTTTTGGACTATAAGTCGCACTTTTTTCATGGTTTGGGTGGTCCTGCGACTTATACTCCTGTGCGGCATATACATAAAATTTTCACACTGACAGCCACTAGAGGGCGCTCTAGGCTTGTGTCTCAGTATCTGCTGCTCCTATTACTCCTGTACCACTGTCATCTGGCTCTACTGCGCATGTCTCCTGCAGAAAGAGCCTCTGTCTTGTCTGTATCATGTCAGTCGATCGCACCATTACTTCTGCACCACTGAAAATTTTACATATAAGTGACTTCAGTGACACCGAAACCATCCTGTCAGGATTCAGAATGGCCGGAATAATTCTAACTGGAACTGATGCTGAGTCTGATGACAGGTACGCAGAAGAGGAAGTGGTGCTCCGTTTACCTCTGGAGGTCGTGGAGTTGGTCAGAAGTGACACCGAGGACAAAGAATTCAATGGATTTAGTGATTTGGAGTGATATCAAGAGGTTTTGGTAAACTTGTTCTGTTCTGTTGTTTATGTTACAGTTATCTGAAGAACTGTTCATATGTGACGTTAACAGACTGTTGTTCTCTGTTCTACTGTTACTACTATAACTTGACTTTCAAGATTAAATGTCAGTTCCTGGTCTCTGATTTTATAAAATTAATTTCCCCCAAAAAGTGTAACTTTTAACCTCTGCGACTTATATATGTTTTTTCCTTATGAATTTTTTGCTGATGCAACTTATACTCTGAAAAATACGATAAGCGGTTATCACTCATTGCATCTTACCTGACGACACATCCTTTGCAGTCTCCTTGTCTCTCTCTGTAGTTCCACAGTCCAATGGGTTTACCATCCAAGAAGGTCTCCCCCATGCAGCCTTCAAATGTTGAGCTCCTCACTGCGTCAGCTTTCTGCAAAATCAAACAAGTCATTAAATAATATGTAAAATCATGATTAAAACTGTGAAGAAAGAATTACAGTGTTTTGTTTCATGCATTAATAGGCAGCAAATATGTGACATTGCAATCTTCTAAAATCCCAGTAGTTTCAGATTGAGCTGAAGGACAGGTCAGAATTCTAAGATGAAATTCGCTGCTTAACTGTCAAATTGCAGATTTATTATTATTGGTTTATGATTAATATCTTTGTAATTGCTGGGTCTATCCACATAAAACAAAAACTGGCACGAAGTTCCACGTCTTCTCTTCAAGTTACATTAGCAAAAGCTTAATTATTTTTTTTTACAATAGCTTCAGAAAGCGGTGCCAAAGCAAAGTTATGATTGTTGCCAGTTGAAAAGACTTTAAGACAAGTGTGTGGAGCCAATCTCAAACAAAAAATTACACTGACCCCTGCCCTCCATCTGAAACTACGGCAGATTATAAATGAAAAAGTAGTGATAGTAGTACCTTGACAGTTCCGAAAATCCCTCCCACAAACAGATACGCGTTCTGGTCCACGTCCAGGATGGTGAAGGAGGTGGGGGAGTCGGCGCTGGCCGGAGTGGGCATCATCCCGGCGTTGGGCCCCTCCAGTGGGTACACCGCGATGGTCCCCGTCAGCCCCTTCCTACAGACAGAGGAGTGATGGCTTGTTATTCAGTTTGGCTGGTTGTACTTTTCGCATGACAACTCCACTGATTGAAAATGTTACTACGGCAAGAATTCAATTTTTATGAACTCGTTGTCACCGCGCTTCTTGGTATTTTAGCAGCGCAGTTTTTTTTACAGACGAATTAATCTTGCGGCCCGGAGTTTGCTTTCATACTTTGGTGTACAGCGAGGGGAGACGTTTTGAAGACGGATAGCTGGTGTGATGCTATTGGAAAGCGCCTTTGGGAAATCTCTAGCATAGAAATGTGTGGGACAAGTGTGCGCGGTGAAAAAGAGGCTCTATACACAACGTAAGACAGAGTGGATTTGTTGGACTAGGCTGTCTCTGTGTAATGATGTAATAATAATGTTCCCCGGGCCGACAGGAGGTGCACGTCTTGATTTCCCAAATGAGTGGATATGTTTTATACAGTAGATTCGATGTAAGCGTTTCCCCAGGTTGTGGTAAATCAGTGTTTGTGCTAATATGATGGCTGCGTGACGTGAGCTAAGGTGAAGGTAATATACAAGCTGCTAACAAATCAACAGAATTATGCTATTTTCACTTAAAATTTGAAGGAGAATTTATTTATTGTGCAAATTAAAAGGCTCGTGCTTGATTTTAAACTATGAGTCAGGAATATGTTTTAGTTTGAACCTTTAACCAGACCAATTCGTGTATCATTCGTTCATTCGTTTTTCAAAATAAAACCAAAAATAAGAAAACGAATAAACAACTACACTATTTGTCTCCAAAACCAAAATGAAAAAACAGATAACGATTCACCATTTCCGTGACTTAAACTGCAATGCCGGACTTTTGTGGCACATATGGACTGAACCAGGACTAAACCAGGAAAAAAAAAAAAAACAGGACTGAGACCGGGAACAAGACCAGGACTGAGACCAGAACTTAGACAAGGACCAGACCAGGACTGAGTCAGGGACCAGACCGGGACCAGGACCAGGACTGAGACCGGGACGGGACCAGAAATGAGACCAGGACTTGAGACCGGGAACAGGACCAGGACTGAGACCGGGACTGAGACAAGGACTGAGGCCAGGACTAGACCAGGACCAGAATGTGATTGAGATCGGGACTGAGACCAGGACCAGACCAGGAATGAAAACAGTTTAGTCCTGGTTTAGACCTGGTTCAGTCCTGGTTCAGTCCGGCGTCACAGTTTAAGTGGGAATCGGCTGTTATCCGTTTTTTGTTTTTTTTCTTCCATTATTCATTTAAACACAAAATCGAAAACTGAAAAAAAAAAAATATCCGTTTTTTCATTTTGGTTTTGGAGACAAATAATGAAGAAAATTGTTCTTTTTTCATTTTCTTATTTTTGGTTTTATATTTAAAAAAGAATGAACGAATGATACAAGGATTCAGAACCTTTCCTTTGAACACCACGTCAAACAAATCACCTTCTATCACCTCCGGAACATCGCTCGCCTCCGCCCATCTCTCTCCCCTCAGTCTGCTGAAACCCTCATCCACACCTTTATCACCTCCCGCCTCGACTACTGCAAAATCCCGCTCTATGGTTCACCCTCCAAACTCTTCAACAGACTCCAGTACATCCAGAGCTCTGCTGCCCACTTCCTCACGCACAGAAACACATCAGCCTTGTCCTCAGAGATCTCCACTGGCTCCTCGTCCCTCAGTGCATCCAATTCAAACTCCTCACCACTGTGTACAAGACCCTCCATAACCTGGCCCCCACCTGCCTCTCTGAGCTCCACCAACACCACACCCCCACCCGTGCTGCCCCCACCCTCTGGAAATCCCTGCCCAAACACATCAGAGACTCATCCCCATGCCCCATGTTTAAAAAATCCCAGAAAACCCATCTCCTTAAAACAAAACAAAACAAAAAAAACTACCATTAACTGTCCTTACTTCTCTTGTTTGCCTTTGTTTGTCTCCTCATGTAAAGCATCTTTGAGTATCTTGAAAAGCGCTATACAAGTGTTATGTATTATTATTATTATTATTATTATTATTATTGACACACAATGACACTGTCTGCTATAGTATCATTCAGTTCACAAATTTTTTGCTAATTTTCTACTCTTAAAAATGGACCATGACAGAAAATAAAGTGTCTGGTTTAGTGTCCAATCTGCAAGTATATTAAAATCTGGCAGATGACTATGTATGTTCATAGTAATTACGTAAAAAAACAATATAAAAATCAATCCTTACAGAAATACCAAGAAGACTAGATATTTTGTCTTTAGAAGTAAACTAGGACTATTAACTAAAGACACGCTTTTCTTAAACATTACCTTTTATTTTGATACAATAATAAACGATACATTTTGTTCCTTCTTTATCATTATTATTAGTTTGTACGACCACAAACAAAACTGGCATCTTTAAAAAATGAAAAAAAAAGTGATTGTATTTGTGTTAGAGAGGTTAGTTTATGGAACAATCTGAGTGATGATTTAAAAAAGTCTAACACTGTAGAAACTTTTAAAAAACAGTATAAAGCGTTTTTGAAAGATATAGATCTCTAGAATTAATTAATTATGCATTAAATTTTGTTTTAATTTAGATTTTGTCTCTTACATAAACAGTAAGTCGTAAATGAAATTGTAAATGCAAACTTGCTGTTCATACGCTGCTTTTCTATCATTGTTTAATAGGATTTGGCTTTATAAGTACTTTTTACTTCAGTCTAAACCCTTAGGTCATGATCCATGGTTTTGTAGTGCTGCAAAATGACCTACTACTACTACTACCACTACCACTACCACTACCACTACTACTACTACTACTACTACTCTACTCTTACTAGGCTTTGTAATTACTTAAAGAAGACCTATTGTGTTTGACTCTGCTCTATGGCAATAAGCTATGACACCCATGGATCACTTTGTCATATTTTGGACCTTAAATTCATCCAAAAAGACAATTAAAAAAACAAGTCCGCTGACAACAAAGAGCCACGCCTCCGATATACTTCGGGTTTGGCATTATAAGTACTTTTTAACTTCAGCCTCATCCCTTCGGTCATGATCTATGGGTTTATAGTCTATGTTTTGTTTTGTTTTGTAGTGCTGCAAAATGACCGAATAAAAAACTACTACTTCTACGACTACACTTTATAATAACCTATTAAGAATGATTAAGGCTTAGTAATTACTTAAAGAAAACCTATTCCGCTTGACTCTGCTGTACGGTTATAATCTATGACACCCGTGGATCATTTTGTCATATTTTGGACCTTTTAAATCGCAATATTCATCCAAAACGACGATTAAAAAAACAAGTCTACTGACAACAAAGAGCCGTGGATTTTAAAATTTTTCTTTCATTTGTACCAACAAATATTCATGCTTCATTATAAAGTGTTAACAATTTCAACAAGAAATGTAAAAGCGTATAAACTATTCCGTGCACCAATCGAATAGGCTACATAGAGCACTATAGTAACTGTGAAGTAAGTAAAATGAGGTGAAGAATGTCATTTATATAAATAGTATTTTCTTCATATTGGCAATGATTACACATATTCAGCATGCCATGAAATACGCAGTTATGCTACACACCTTAAGAATTGCAATCCTTGGACTATAACTACCATTTGAATTGCCACTTCCCATGTCACGAATGCGAGTCCCTTTAAATACATGTCAAGGTAAACTGCAAGAAGCCTCTCTCCTTTATATTGGAGTAAATGTAAAAGGTTTAGAATGTGCCGTATGTGAGCGTGCAGACAGACATGTACCCACCGTGAAGCCTCGATGCGGTGCCAGTTTCCGTCGTGGATGGTGAGATCCGGATACTCCACCCTGCCCACGCCCGAGCCCACGTCCCAAAGGAAATTCACCTTCCCCTTTCTCATCTCCAAGGCCAGGAAATCAACCTACAATCAAGACAACACAATGTACGGTTAGAGAAAGCAACGCGGTCTTTTTAACCGTGATGTGACATTGCATAGGAATAGTTGTGTGGGGTAGCGGAGGAAGGTCACTGTAAATTGTGTTGTTATTGATATTTACATTACGCCATTATGAATTCACCTCTGTAGGCCAATGTATTCAGAAGTGAGAATAACTTCCAGATGGGAGTAGAGCTTAAAAACACAGTCCAAATAACAACCTTGAAACCCTTGTTACCGTGGACCACTTATATAAATAAAATAAATAATTCCATTCACATTTTATTTCACATATATAATGTAAGTGTACATAATGTAACTTCACTTTTATTCAGTATTAGCGAGCATTGCATTCTTCCTACTTCACTAAATACTTTGCAACAAACTTTTGTAGTGTATAATGTGAAGATTATCAATTTCAAGATAGAGTATGTAACTTTCAGGAGGTGTCACGTCACTTGCTTGATTCCACGGAAATAAAACATTAACTTGGGAATATTATCCTTGGAAACAGATATTTTTTTTTATGCCATACTGTGGAATATTATAACCAAAAGAAAACATTTCCATGGAAACAAGCATGGGGTCAGGTTAGTAGATATGCAAGCCCGACTACAGTGTGTTTTTAACTTCAATAAAAACACCTTAAGTGAGTCTAGTCTATTATTTGCTTTAAAAAGTTACATGCTGTGGCATCTTGAACGTAGTAATTTAGGTCTCAAATATAATTAAGAAAAAATAATAGCGACCAGAAACAATTTATTAATTAATTCACTCTAGACCCTGAAAATTAAACCTTCATCAAAAGTGCTTATTATCTGGTGGTTTTTGTCACATTTACATTACTTTAAAATAGGGCTGAACGATCTATCTATCTATTTTGAACTGAAAATTGTGATCTCAGACAACACGATTTTGGAAGCATCAAAGCAGTGTTTTTTCCAGTCCTCCTAAAGCCTAATTTTAAGGGCGAAGTGTAGGTCTGCGTTGACCCAAGGCACACTGCTGCCATCGCCTTGTCACTGTTGTTTTTGATTTATGGATCTGCGTCGAGGCAATTCACCACCACAACACTAGGAGGCTACGATTTAAGCCTGGTGTTCGTGTAAAGTTTAACATGAATCATCTCCAATACGATAGAAGCACAGAACAGACTCACCATCATCAGCACATCCTCTGTCATAGAAAGAACACACATATTCCACTGAGTCATGTCCTTTAGTTCAACAAAAGCTGAACCACATCAGAAGCACAAGGAGCAAGCTGTTTTTTCAGTGCTTATAGTTTATGCAAATTAGCCATGTGGTTTTAAGTTTCATTTCTATAAAACGTAAACAAATGTGCACAACGTCCAGCGTCAAATTATTGGTGCAGGACTCTGGTATGATGTAAGTTTCTGTGATGTTTGCAAATGTTCATGAGCACAAAAATTTCAAAAAAATTGTGGATGAAATCAAAATTTCAATATCTGCCAAAAAAATCGCAATTCAGTTTTTTCTTAAAATCGTTCAGCCCTACTTTAAAGTTAGATTTCATAAAGCTGGTCACATAGTAGAGGAATGGTGATCTATTAGAGCAGGGGTGTCAAACAGACAGCCCTTCAAGACATTTAATCTGGCCCTCGGCTGATTTTCTACTAAAATATTTTAACAATATTTTCTATTAAAATATTGGTAATTTTCTGCGGTGTTTATCACAGCAGCGTCTCCAGCGCCTCTGTGCGTGGCCCCTCCCACCAGAGCAGCACAAATGAAGACTTGTCTCTTTCCAAACGCTCTTAAAGGACGATCGTTTTGACTGTTGACCATGACACCCTCATCAGCAAAATGTCAAAAATGAGAAAAGTGGACAGTGAGTGCAGGATTTTCCAAGAAAAATATCCTAAATATAAAATATAAATATATCCTATTTGCATACAAGTTAATGTTAAAACATTGTGTTGAAATTGCATTTTTCTTAAAGTTTCAGGTTGTTCATAATATTATAATATTTTGTAAAAGAAAGTTCATCAATTAAAAAAGATTTCTGTAATAGATTTGCATTTCTCTGCACAAATATTTGAACTTATTGCTATTTTTGGGGTATATATATGCCAGATATTTTCTGATCCGACCCCCTTTGGGATTAAAGTAGATTGGATACAACCCCCGGACCAAAATGAGTTTGACACCCCTGTATTAGAGGAACGGTGATCTATTAGACAATGTGAAAGAGTGACAGTTCATAATTTCAGTTGTTTGGTTTCCTTTCACAACAATCTGAACACTAACATCCCTAAATAGAACAAATCTGTTATTATTATTTTTTTCCCCAAATACTTAACGTGATCAGTAGGGCTATAGTTCATAATGACACAAATGTATGTATTAGTAAGTGAGTGATCGATGGTCACTGAAGCCATACCTCTATCAGACTGCCCTGGGGCGACCGTGACTGTCTCATCATCTCCAATTGTGAGTCGCGAATGAATCATGCAATTTTAGTCTCCGGAAATGTACTTCACAAGATTGATGCGCTATTATTGTAAGCGCGCAACAAATACTACCTCGCAAACACATAATATAAAGCATCTATTTCCATTCATATATTTTAATTTGGACCGTCAAACACAGGACTACAAACCTGCGCCATTTCATCTTGCTTTTCTTAAACCGACAGATGGGAGGTTGTGTAAGAGCATCTGGCCATGATGTAAAATGATGGTAATTAATACACGTCTTGCAAGTAGATCTATGAATCACTACGCATTTATCATGGAGGGGACAGGAGCTGGGAGGTAATACGGCTCGTGCTAGTCTATTCTAAGTCTCTAGCTTGTCCTTACATATTGCCGGATCTTTCTGTATTTTGATTAATGATCTTGTTACTTATGTATGAGGGAAAAAAATTATAATTGCGGTTTTCGGTGGACGCTGTAATCTCCCGGCCGCCTCTGAACTAGCCGCATTATTATTCAAATAGCATTATGCACAATTATAGATTATTAGGGCGCCACATCTGAAGACTATACTTATCTCGCTCCTTCCATTTCTCCCGGGTATCGGCGATTATTCATTTGTACAGATCACAGGGGGTTGCTTTGCTTATTAGAATTCTGCTGGCGTTACACAATATTAAGAAGATGGTAGACATAGACACACAGAAGCGGGATCGGGTCGGTTTTAAAGGAAGACGCACAAGATATCGCGGCGTGTTGGAGCATGGCTGCAGAATCCTCTCGGGAAATCACTTGTAGCCAGATAGCTGTATAAACTTGTTAATTGCTGCTTCTCATTAAGACTAATACGTTTGTGCCGGAGAGGATGTCATGTCAAGAATGCGTTTTCAGACGTGGCGAGGTACCGCGGGGACCGGTGGTGCATGGTGTCGCGGAAAAAAAAAAGACAAGAGGAGAGTGGTGTAATTGTTGTTTTGTACTTGTGAATCTAAGTTTGCAGAGGAAATGTTTTTAAGTATGATAAATGCTGTGGTGTTAGCAGTGCTGCGCTATATTAAAGATGATGAATGTGTTAATATGGGGCTCTTAGAAAATATTAGTTTTGTGGTTGGTGAGCCACACGAAAAAAACACAACAACTCAGCAGATATGTCCTGGGCTTAAACAAGGTGGCTGCTTCTGCTATTACTGCCTGATTTCTTAAACATTTTCCATTTTGGGCTGTTAGTCTGAATACAAGTCTCTGAAAGTAAAATTATGTTTGTGCTTTTTAGCTTTGTGTAATCGTGTTTGTACCAAAATATATTTGATGTTTCAAACCCGAACAGAACTAATTCAGTTTGGAGAGATTGTCTGAACATATACATCAGATGGTTTACATTATGTATGTAACTTTAAGAATCCGTGTATCATTCGTTCATTTGTTTTTCAAAATAAAAGCAAAAATAAGAAAAAAAAAAAAAAAAAAAAACAACCAAACAAAACAAAAAAAAAAAAAAAACCCTACTTAACTACTACTTAAACTGTGATGCCTGACTTTTGCACCACATACGGACTGAACCAGGACTGAACCTGGACTAAACCAGGACTAAACCTATGTCAGTCCTGGTCTGGTCCCAGTCTCAGTCCTGATCACCTGACAGTCTCCGCGGGCGCACTGTCCTGAGAGTCAGTCCTGATTTAGTCCTGTTTAAGTCCTGTTTTAGGCCTGGTTCAGTCCTGGTTCAGCCCTGGTTTAGACCTGGTTTAGGCCTGGTTCAGTCCTGGTTCAGTCCTGTTTAAGTCCTGTTTTAGGCCTGGTTCAGTCTTGGTTCAGTCCGTATGAGGTGCAGAAGTCCAGCATTTTAAGTCACATTTACAAATAATGTCTATTGATTTGGGTCGCGAAGGTTTGTGACTTTTAAAATATGGGTCCCCGGAAAAAAAAGTTTGGAAAACATTGATCTATTTGATATGGCAAAATAACTTAGTAGTAAAGCTAAATGATGAATGTACATACGTATTGTGCAGATCCCAGGTAGAAGAGCAGGTTGTCTGGAGTGGTGGTTTTCACATGGAGGACAATAGTGTTGTATCGGCCTTTGCGGATTTCAGGACGATAGCTGCGCAAACAGTCCCCTCCTGACGAAACTGATACTTTGATCTGAAAAATAAAATAAAAAATGTATCAAGTCTGAAAAATCTTTGTTTAATTGAATATTAAATTGTGCATGTACACTACCAGTCAAAAGTTTTAGAACACCACACTTTTTCCAGTTTTTTTAAAGAAGAAAGAAAACATTGGTCAACTTTTGATTCATGAAAGTGTCCACCTTTGGCAGATATAACAGCTGAACACACTCGTGGCTCGTTCTTTTTACAATAGAAATAAAATATTTTTCAGAAAGTTCTTCTCAAGTTTGTTGCAGAAGTTCCCATAAATGTGTAGCACTTGTAGGTTGTTTGGCTTTCACTCTTCTGTCCAGTTCATCCCAAACCACCTCGATGGGGTTTAAGTCTGGAGACTGTGCTGGACACTACATGTTTTTAAACTTACCATCTTTTTCTTTTTTCCTAGTAGTTTTGGCAGAGCTTGGAATTGTGTTTTGTTCTTTTATCTTTTTTTTTTTAACCTCTGGCTGTTCAGTATTTACCTTTGCACCATTTCAAGCTCTTCAATGAACTTGCACGACGTGAATTGCAATAAATAACTGGAAAAAATCAGGGTGTTCTAAAACTTTTGACTGGTATTGCATGTCTCTGTTTTCTTTTCTCACAGAATTGGCCTGTTTCCTGGCTTGACTGATGAGCTCTTTGATTTGAGAGATGTTGCGTCTCAAATTGTCCTGGAGCATTCTGATTGGCTGCAGCTTCTCCAGCAGCCTATCAGCTTCGTCCTCCAGGTCCTTGACTTTGGCTCCGGCCGCGTGGACTACGGACGGACACAGACAGGGTAATATAGTGACACACGGCGCGTACAGTGGTCATTTGGCACAATTACACAGCAGCTGACAGAGAGCGGACAGCCCATGTGTGAAAAGCATTTAGAGATGGACAAATGAAGGAGGCTGATACGATTACAGCTGTTAAGGAGAGAGCCAGAGTGATTAAAAAGCCGCACAATGACTGTAGCTCTGCAATCGCAAGGAAATTCTGATTTAAACTAAAAATAGAAACAGAAAAAGAGTTCATTACATGCCAGGTCCATGCTCTAACTGTAACAGACAGAGGCAGAATAAAGAGCAGCTAAAGCCATAGAAGACTACAAGTAAAAGTAAAGGAGGATGCACCAATAATAATTTATACATCTAAGATTATTAACACCCACATATGAGACATTTATGACACCTGTAACTGATATATTTAATGCCATATTGTGGAACATTCAGGGCGAAGCGATAGCATATCCATGAGACAAGCAGGTGGCGGACAACTTACTAAAAATATATACAATGCTCGTTAAAACATGATTTAGAAATTAACTGATCATGAAATATTATAGTCCAAAAATGTCTACTTCTTCAGTGTAACATAAAATAATTTTGTGTAAACTTAATCAAATTTTGATCTCACTTTCCATTTGTGTGTCAGCTCCTGTCCCTCTCCTTTTTGGGCTAATTTTTGATTTTTTGTTGTTGTTGTTTCTGCTCTGATTTCATTGATATTTTATGTTCCATTGTAAAAGAATATAATAAATACATCAATCTCAAACAATCTCCCAACTCATATAAAATCAAGTTCAAACTATTTAAAGCTTTGTAAAGTTAATTTTGGGATATTTTTTATATAAATAAGAATGTTTATTTAATTTTTTTCAATATAGAGATTGTAGAACAGCTGGATATATAGTTTATTTTGGATACTTTTGTGTTTTTCTATGTCTTATTTCATGTTCAAAGTATATTTTATTCATCGTAAAACTGCTCTAAGGTTCATATTTGTAGCGTGAATTTATTTTCAATTTGAAAGTTTTGCATAAATTATCAATAACAAAGTGTTTTTTGGAGAGAGAAATGCTGATTAAATGCATCATGTAACTATAAAAAAACTGTTTGAATAATCGTGATTTCAATATTGACCAAAATAATAATCGTGATAATGATTTTTTTCCATAATCGAGCAGCCCTACTGTAAAAAGCTAAACATGAAATTGGATTAAAAAGTTATATACTAGCCAGGCTCTGACTTTTTAGAGAGTAATTCTGGCTCGATAGTCCATGTAAATGCACTTTACTTTACTTTACGATCTCATTTTCCTCAATATAAGACGTATGGCGAAAGCTAATTAGTCATGGCAACTTGACATTGGTGCACCACTAGAAAGCAGCAAGATTTGTATAAAGGTAATTGATGTATACATACTGATTGCTGTAGGGATTGGGGGAAAGAAGAGAGAGAAAAAATATGTCAAATGTTGGTTAAAACAATGAACTCAACAATTTACTTGGTTAAAAAAAAAAAAATCACATTATTAATTCTGTGTATATGAGATGACATTTTAGAATTACTTTTTAGGATTAAGAAGCTTGATTATAAGTATATTGTAGTATACTGCCGTCAAACATTGGTCCAGTTATTGCACTATCCTCTTTAAGGCCCGTATAGAAGAGTTATTTACTGTTTTTCTCGTGGTCCTGGATGATCTGGTTGGCTTCGTTGACAGTGCCCTCCAGGTCTCCGTAGTTCTTCTGCAGTCCTTGGATCTGAAGGTTGAGGTTGCCGAGGCGTTCCAGCACGTCGATGGCTGTGGCGTTGGCCTCCCCGGCTACAGCCTTGGTCGCGGCGACTCTGGCGGCTGTGTCTGAAATGTATATCACATTACACGTTTTAATTGGTTACATCGTTTTCTGTGTCTTGTTTGCTTATTATATTCTAAATAGATGAGATAGTCGTGTTACGTTATATACCAAAAAGTACCAAAGAAAGAAGAATATACCAGTAATGATTCTGATTCTTTCTCTTTCAAATAATGTTATAAAGAAATCAAGTTAATAAAAGGTGTTGATTTGTTTAGAATCCGTGTATCATTCATTCATTCGTTTTTCAAAATAAAACCAAAAATAAGAACATGAAAAAACAACTATTTTCTTCATTATTTGTCTCCAAAACCAAAATGAAAAAACAGGTAATGATTTGTTTTTTCAGTTTTTGATGACTTAAACTGTGATGCTGGACTTTTGCTCCACACACGGACTGAACCAAGACTAAAACAGGACTAAACCAGGTCTAAACCAGGTCTAAACCAGGTCTAAACCAAGTCTAAACCAAGTGGTCTCACTCTTGGTCTGGTCCCGGTCTCAGTCCTGGTCTCAGTCTTGACCTTGTCCCAGTCTGGTCCCAGTCTCAGTCCCAGTCTCAGTCCTGGTCTCAGTTCCGGTCTGGTCCTGGTCTCAGTCCCAGTCTCAGTCCAGGTCCCAGTCCTGGTCCAAGTGGTGGTTTAGTCCTGGCAGACCTGGCTTAGTCCTGTTTCAGTTCTGGTTTAGACCTGGTTTAGTCCTGGTTTGGTCCTAGTTTAGTCCTGGTTCCGACACTGCAGTTTAAGTCATGGAAACAGGAAACGGCTGTTATCCGTTTTTTTCCCATTCTTCATTTAACATAAAATCGAATACTGAAAAATTGAATCATTATCAATTTTTACATTTTGGTTTTGGAGACAAATAAAGAAGAAAATAAATAGTTTTTTTGTTTTCTAATTTTTGGTTTTATTTTGAAAAACGAATGAACGAATGATACACGGATTGTTGAGGATCCTGTTCGCATACACAGTTTACCTATGTAATCCTTCAGTGTAAATATTTCTTTGTGTAACTGTTCTAATGAATTACAAACGAATGCCGCTACCTATGAGTTATGGGTGCTTTAAGACATACTGTACATGAGGTTATTGTCAGGGAGTTGCTATGAAGTTCACTACTCATGTTACCAGTATTGGAAATTTGTTGTTGTGTCCCTGGGCGAGACAAACTTGGCCCAAATAATTGGTCGTAATCTAGAATCTAGAAGTAATATTTTTCCCTCATATCTGCTGATCACAATTTTTTATTCAATTTTATTTTGTCTTATTAAAAACAAATCACAATAGCGCTCAATATTAGTTTCATGGATTTGTGGCCATAGCAGTTTGTCAAAGCCTGATCCTGTCAGATCTCAGAAGCTCAGCAGGACCGGGCCTGGTTAGTACTCGGATGGGAGAACGCTGGGAAAATCAGGTGCCACAGTGCTCCAGTCACAAAAACTGTCTTTGTGTCTTTAGGCAAGGCACTTCACCCACATTGCCTAGTATAAAAGTGGTGTGTGCATGAGTGATCAAGTATGGAGTGAATGAATAATGCTCTGTAAAGCGTCTTTGAGTGTCCAGAAAAGCACTACACAAAACTGATGCTTAATTATTATTATTATAAACATGGCAGACATTTAAAGGTTGTATGGAGGATTTGTTTTAGTTTCAAATTGTCAATGAAAGTTTAAAATACCATTACAGAGACACAGCAGCCTTGTAATTATGATGACCAAAAAAAAAAAAGAATGAAAATCTATCAACTGTGGACATAGTGAAGCCAGATAAACATCAGCCAATAGATAACGAGGCTCCCTCATTTTCTATTGGCTGTTAGGTTGTCAATCAAACTCCCTACGTTTCTAGTGTAACTGACTTGCCGGCGCGCGGGGATTACGTGGTTTATGCAGCAGTTCTTAGAGGATTTTACAAACTGTAGATTCCTCGCAATTCGCACTTAGTTTGTTGAGATGGCGGACGAGAATCCACGACCAGTTCACCGCAAAAGAAATTTCGTTTTTGAGGTCGCTGAAAGAAGAAGAGAAGGGGAAAAGGAGCAAAGCCAATCTGAGGTGATTCTCGGAGATTCCTTCCAGCGATTGAAGCGGATGAAGGGTCTAAAAACTGACGCACTGGTCGCTAATTACCTCTAGACAGGTCACTTCATCAGTAATTCTGAACGCGCACTGGCTGTAAACAAATGTGATTTCTGGAGTAAGTAGGAGATGTTTCTACTGAGGGAGCTGTGGAGGAGGAAGGTGGTGTCACGTATGCACAACATTTGAAAAAGGACTGTCGCTGTATTTCTTTGCCCTTAAAAAAATCCTCTATACAACCTTTAATAATTGCTTTTTAAAACAAAAAAAGTAAAAATATTTGTCCAAAGTCTGAACTCTGCACCAAACCACATGCTTTTACTGACACAGGACTGGCTGTGGATCTGTCGATGATGTTATCTGATCATCGACGATTACAGATGACTGAATCTCGACATAGTTTCATATTCGATTAATTGCTCATTCCTTTTATAATTGTGCTTTCTTATTTGCTTCAAGTTTCTGCCCAGGGAAGCTATAGCAGAATGCACGCTGGCTCTTTTATCTCACCTGTTTATGCCATTTGCCCATTATCTCACAATACACAGCGACTCCCTGTTCCCACGTGACGTACCGTTGGGGATGGCTTGCAGCGTTGCCATGGTGACATCGATGCCTTTAACGAGATCTTTGGTTTTGTCTTTGGCTGCTTTGACTCTGCCCTTCAGCAAGGCCACGTTATCTGCATTCCCTGTGCACACACATACACACACAGAACATATAAACTTGCGTCGCTCACACATGTCCCAGAAGACGTGTGGACAGCGATAAGAAGGACAAAGATGGCAGCCTAGGTTTTATCTAATACACATTTTATATGTTTTCTACAACTACTGCCCGTGTCTTTCAGCAAGGAGGTAGGACTGACTACTTTCTCCCCACAGTTTTATTCACTTGTAGTTGCAATGACAGAGTTGATAAATCTTCCTTTAAGATGTAAGTACTTAAAGGAGTACTTAGATAATTATTTTACATTTTGTTCTAAAATGGATCTAAAACTGCTTAATAATAGAAACTAGTCCATCGAGTTCCTGTTATAAATTGCAGAACTGTCAAGCCTCGTCTCCTTCTGGGGGCTCTGTATCGTAGCAAGCAGCAGATTTCTTTAATTGTAGAAAACCTACAAGTCTCACTTTTTTGAATAAATCTGAATAAGCTAAAGTTGAGGGAGAACAGTTTTATCATGATCAGATGCCCATAAACCATTATTTTATATACAGGGTATCCTCAGGTTTGACTACCCCAAATTTAAGACTTTTTAAAGACCTTTTTTAGACCATTTAAATTAAAATTAAGACCAATATCACACCCATTTTGCAGGCGAAAAACTCCAGATCCAATTCTAATAATGACAAACTAACTACTATATCTAGAATCTAAGAGCCACTGTGGATTAAACCTACACTTCCCCATGATCCATCCAACGTCCTCCACTCTACTGGTTGTTTACTCATTGCCGCCGGTGCCAGAAACCAAAGTATTGTTTGGACTATTGTCAGACTCCAAATTAGACGTTCATTCACGTTACATGATTTCACGTTGTTGTTTTTTTGTCCTCTCTCCACTGAACAGCCCGGTTGAGTATACAAAAAAACAAGCTAATGAAATTTAAGACCTTTGTGAAAAAAATAAGACTTGAAAAACATAAATAAGACTTTTTAAGGCCTTAATTCACAAACAGGAAATTTAAGACCTTTTGGAGACTTTTAAGACCACTCAGCTCCTTTAATCTCTGTTTTTGACATTGACAACAATCAAATAGTATGGGTTGACTTAACTGAATTACTTTTAAAATGTAAAATGTATATCGTCCTGAGTCCCGGCCCCTTCATTTGTGTCCTTTATAATGGATATTGAGTAAACCAGTCTGTCTTTCAAGTGTTTTGAGATAGACTCTTAACAGGGTGATTAGGTTTCTCTGCTTAAACAGGGCTGGGGGATTATAGGGTACTATCATGTCCAGGATAAAAAAATTAACTGAAAAGGAGTTAGTTTGAGGCTGCAATATGACAAAAAATTAAGAAATTAAAAGGGAGTCTAAAAACTTTTTAAGGCGACTGTAGAATTTAACATTGCACTGCAGCCGGTTGAGTCTACAAAAAAGTAGGCTTATGAAATTTAAGACGTTTATGAAAAAAATAAGACCTGGACAACATAATTTAAGACTTTTTAAGGCCTTAATTCAGGAACATGAAATTTAAGACATTTTTAAGACTTTTAAGACTCCGCGGCTACTCTGAATAGGCACCAAGTCTGTTTTTTGATTGGTGCCATGTGAAATGAACTTAAATTAAATATTGGAAATAGAAGTCGAAATCTGTTTTTTTTGTTTGACACTAAAACAGAATAATGAAATAACAAACAGATTTTCCATTTTATTGTTTTTCGTTCTTAATTGAAATAAAAAAAAGAAAAAAACAGTACACAGACCAAAAATAATATGGGCCCTTTAAAGTTAAATTTAAAAGGTGTTGCACTTGATACGATTGAAAGTTTACCTTGCACATCCTTTTGCAGCTGCTTAGCCTGGTTCAGTAGTTCATGACTCTTCCTTACGGCATCATCGGCCTTCTCCTTCATCGGGACATCAGGACCTAGAGCCTAGTTACACCGTAAATTCTGTTATATACTGCTATTGTACTGCGCATGCAACGTGCTCATTAAAAGTTACCATAAAAGCACGAAACATTTCAACAACTACAAAGCTCAAAGCGGCTAAAACTAAACGTGCTTGTTCCCGTCTCCTGCGCTGTTTGAACATAAAATGACACAAAGTAATTAAGGCGATTTCAGAAAAAAAATAAAAACAAAAAAACAATTATGGCATTCTGAAGGAAACAGAACAAAGAATATGCAATCAAACAGTGAAAATTGCAGCATCAGAATAAGCACAGACCAATGAGAATACAACAAAAAACTGAGAAAGGCACATGAGGCTCATGTTAAGTGCAACTATTATGTAAAATTTAAAATATAATACACATATGTTACACTGATCCCTATTAAATAAACAAATCTAATCAAATGTATCAATGTAAAAACGACGAGATGAAATACAAAGCTACTGCCTAAGGATGCAGAGTTTATTATAAAGCTGCACTATGTCACATTTTTGGAGAGGGTATGCCAGCTGCTTGTTACTACTGATAAGTTATTCTTTTGCCACAATTTTCCATAAACTTTATTATCTTCATGGTGACAAGCAGGTGCAGAACTGTCAAATAAAGCATCGTTAATATTGTGCACTTTTAATATTTTTTTATTAATTTGTTCTTTTCTTCTGTTGAATAACTCTTTGTACTGTTTTTGTTACGTTTATTTAATTAAAGAGAGGGTATTACCTTTCTATGGGAAATAAATTGTTACCACATAACATATTTAGATCACCATGCTGTCTTTTATTGTTTTGAAAATGTTATATTCGCAGAAAACAGTGTATTAATTATTGTAATCTAAACCATTAAGCCCTTAAAAGTTCTTCTGTTTTGGACATAGGATCTCATTTCCTAATGAGCCAGAGTGTTGGTGACGTGTGGAATTAAATATAAATAATATATTAAATATTAAAATATTCCATCCAGTCCTTGTATTTACAGAGGTCGCTGGTGCTAGGCTAGTGCATGTCAATGGCCATAGTTAGCCGGCCACTAAAAACAGTCTTACCCACTCCACAAAACACCCAAAGCAAATCATTATTACATCAGACAAATGTAAATATCTGTGTTGATAGAATAATTTTAGAAGTAAAACCAACCTTGCATTTGAAGGATTTATGTCTGAGCAGCAGCAGTGAGTTGTACTTCCTGATAGAAAGCTTGGCAGAGGTGGACTGATACATGAGAAAATAGTCCCTCAACATATGACGCTTCATGCGATGCAAGGTTAGTTTTATTTCAAACATTATTTTACTGACACAAACATTTACATCGACAGTCTGGCGTAATAATCGTTTTGCTTTTGTGGAGTGGGTAAGATGTTTTTAGTGGCAGGATAACTATGGCCATTGACATGCACTAGTCTAGCACCAGTGACCTCTGCAAATACAAGGACTAGATGGAATATTTTAAAAAGTGTCTCCACACGTCTCCAACACTCTGGCTCACTAGGAAATGAGGCTCTATGTCCAAAATTCTGAACTGTCACTTTTGTTTTTTTATTAAATAACACTGAGAGGTAGAGGTGAAATGTGAAATTTACATATAGAGAATGTATATTATGAGTATATTAAGTCTTACCAGAGCGAGCGCCTCAGAGGCCTTCTGTTTGGCAGCTTTAGCCTCCTTCTCCGCAGCATCCACATTGGCTTTGATGTTACTGTAGGCCTTGAAAGCAGCTGTGGCGTTGAAGGACAGGTTCCGTGCCTCGGCTAAAATGCTGACAGATGACAGATAGAAGACAGAATAAGAAATGTCATGACCGTTGAACACCTTTGGGATATTTAATTAAGTTGTCTCGAACTGCTTTTGTGCGGTGGTCAAACTCAAACCTTGGCTGTGAACATTGTGAGATGTGTTCAGACAGTGTTGTATTGAAATTATTAATTCTAAAGTGCTGAAAAGGTGATTGCTGTGTCACCAAACCTTAAGTAGAATAGATATAATAGGTATATCTGCGAACCAATAGAGTATAAAATCAGACTTCTACAGTACATTTTAATAAAGTAATATCCATATCTATAGACAGGATGTACACTTAGTATTACTGCTGTTTTTCATTCAGCTTCAGTTTATCAGTTAAATCGTCGGGGCAGATTACACCTTACAGATTCCATGCCCCTCTTGTTTCACGATGGGTACACAACATCTGTTTTGGGACAGTTTTGAACAAGCATTTCAACAAGCATCTGGTGGGAGGGTGCTCAACAAGTGCACCACTGTCACCCCAACAGTCCCCAATAATCACTGTTGGGCAAGTTACTTCAAAACTGAAATGCATTATTTATTACTTATTACTGTTATTTAAAAGTAATTTGTTACATTACAATACTGCAGTATTTAAAATGGAAGACATTACACGACTATTGTATTACTTTTATATTATTACTATTACTATTATTACTTTTACTCTCACCAAAATAACTGTAGCGAAATTACGAACTTTTGCGCCGTATATGGACTGAACCAGGCCTAAACCAGGACTGAGGCAGGACTAAACCAGGACTAATCTTGGACCAGGACTTAGAATCTAGGATCGCCCCTGAGAGAACCCCGAGCCCGTGGAGCAGGGTGTCCACAAAGCGCAATCAGTTTGCAATTATCCAGGCCCATCTGGAACCGTAACGATGCCGTTTCACCGCTGCTGATATCACAGTAATTTTAGCGAATTTGTATGAAGAAAAACAAAAAACGCACCACTTCAGTCCAGGTTAAAACAAGCACTGTTACGCGCGTTACTGACGTTTGTACCAAATAAAATATTAATTTTTTTTGCCTGTAATGCCGAACACTACTGCGTTACAGCAAAAAGCAACACGTTACAGTAATTTGTTACTTTTATAATGAGTTACTCCCATCACTGCCAATAACAAAATTTGCTTATAAATAGTGGCATAATGTTTCCAGTCCCGCATGATTAATCAAATTGAAATTACAATTTGAATGGGTGTAATTTGCTAAAATTTCTAAAAATACAATTACTGAAGAGCAAAGTATCTTGTCTCACTCTGCATGAAAACAGCTCTCTCACTCTGTAGTTTAGATCTGTACTGATTGTTGTAGTAGTTCATATTCCAGTCTTTTTTTCAATTCTTCTGGTTGCCTTTAAAATGTGAACTTTGAACAGAATCCTATTATTAAAACATAAATCGCATATCTGATCTCAGTCACAATGTTCCAAAATTCACACTTGTTTTTTTCCCCAAATTATTCAGCCCTAACTGTTTCCAAAATTAGTTCTTCTACTTTTATCTTGTTCTCTCAAGCCAGATAAATACACGTCTGTCTTAGATGTTTTTAGTAACAAAATATGATTGGAGCTTTTTGTATGTGATAAAATAAAACTTAAAATTAGGGATGTAACGATATCCAACTCTCTTGGTACGATATTATCACGATATGCATCTTACGGTACAATATTTAGTGCGATATTTTGAAGAGGGTAATATAATTGTAGTTAGGATACTTTTTTTGCTTTTAAAATACCTTGACAAGATTTTGGTGAGAATTTAAGTAAAAAACATATCTCTTTCTGTTGTTTGCACTGAAATGAATCATGGGAATTGTAGTTCCCTGTGTTCATTAAGCTGTTGTTACTATAAAACAAGATATTTTAGCAAAGGAACTTGTAATTTGATATATTGTGACAGCCCTCGATATTATTTTGAGACTTGTGACGATGCGATATCATGATATTTTGGTTATTGTTACATCCCTACACAAAGTATCTGTTCCTGTTTGTTCGATGCAATAATTGTTTGGCTCAGTACTTGTCCAGTATAGCAGCAGACTCGTTGAGCTGTTTGGCGTAGTCCTCTGCTTCGGTCACATGACTGGCCAACCTGCCCCCTCCAAGTCCGTCAGTGAGACCAGACACTTTGTCCTTCAGCTGTTTGTGAAGAGGGCCCAGCTCTGTCTGCATATCCTCCAACTCCTGCAAACAAATGTGAAGTTACAATCAATCAAGGACATTTATTTATCATATTTTCTTATACAAATGACAGTACAAATTCAGATTTCCTGCTGTAATTATGGTAATGATTGATTGTAAATTATGATTCTTAAAGGCACTGTACCTGATTTTTCCCGTCTTAAAATGTGAACTACCAGCCAACGTAATTTTAAAGAGTTTGCAGTGGTCCAAATTTATCCTTCACTTTGTTGACCCAATTTGAGCATCCGAATTATTCAAAGTGATTAGTTTATGCCACAGGGATGTCAAACTCAAATTCACAGAGGGCCAAAATTAAAAACTGTGACTAAGTCATGGGCCAAACTAAATATTTATTGAAAAATTTCAATAACATGTTTTTGCTTCTTTTGACATATGTAATGTCAAACCTTTTTTTCTTATTAAAATAAAAGTTTAAAAGTAGTTTTGCTTAAACATTGAATTTAGAACAAGCACAATATAAAATAATAAGAAAGTTTTAAATAAATAATGTCTCTATAACCTATCTGTAGCCGGAACAGAAGATGAAGATACTATTTAGTTTTGACCCTAGGAGCTGCTTTAACAGTATATCTGTGACAGGAAAGACAGTTTACTCTTCATTACATTTACACAAATTGGGTACAGCCCCTTCAAAAGATATAATGATGCTTATTTATATATTTGTATGTTTTCATTGTAGTAAAGCACTCTGAATCACCTGAAAGTAGCTGAAAGTAACACTGAAAACATCATCAGCATTAGCCGTACCTCCAGTCCTTTGTTGATGTCGTCTGAGAGATTGTTGGCTTCATCCAGTAGGTTTTCTCCCTCTCCCAGAATATCCTGTGCCATCTGCTGGACTCCACCCACCGCATTACGTTTTCTCTGGACAAATGATGAAGATTTCAGGTTTTCATCATGTTAAAAGCAAATCCACTTTTTATTTGGGTAGCAAAAAATAATATGGCTTGCCCGTGGATGTATAGTTTTCAGTTTGGGATTAGATACCAGAGGTGGGGACTTGCAAGTCATGACTTGGGTCACAATTTTTAGGATTTGAGACTTGACTTGATAAAATGGACTAAGACTTGGGACTCGACTTGGACTTGAAGGTCAGTGACTTGGGAACTGACTTGGACTTGAGGCCTTTAACTTGAGAAGACCTGAGAAGCACTTTTAAATCTGAATTCTTTCTATTCTGACTGTAATAATTCACACTAAGATCTTGTCACGACATTTAAAAAGGAAAAAATTGTACTTCTGGTACTCTTATATACTCTTTAAATTCTCATTATATAAATATACGATGACTTTTTAAATACAGTTTATCTTGAAATTCATATAAATTGGAAAAATCTAAGCTATATTTGGTACTTTGGTTTAAAGGCTTGAAATGAATTGAAGCTCAAAGCAGACGACTTGGACTTGACTTGGACTTATGGGCCAGTGACTTGAGACTTGACTCGGACTGGCCTGTATTTGACTTGGGACTTGACTTGGACTTGAGGCCGAAGACTTGAGACTTACTTGAGACTTGCAAAACAACAACTTGATCCCACCTCTTTTAGATACTCGTATTTTATTGCAACTTCTTGTAATAAAATAGTTAATCAGACTCAGAGTCATTCTTTAAAAAGTATTTGTTCATTATACTTTATTAAGGCTAATTTGTAGTAGTTATTATAAAGTATTACCCAAGTCCCTGCTCTTCTGTATATCCAATGTATGTTCTTTCACACCATTCTAACCTTGTACTTTTTTATACCTTCCTCAGTCATTTCTCATGAATATTCGCAAAATACTAGGAACACATTTGAAAATAAAAAGACCAGTCTGTAACCTTTGAAAGAACACGCAATTCTTAAGTTTGTTGAGAGGTGAAGAGGGACACTTAGTACATTTTAAAATTATAACCTTGCTTGGATGCATGGCATTCTTTCCTTGGAGTAGCCCGGGTCAGAGAGACAAAAGGGAGATTATAAGAAGAAAATGTTTTGAAAACTTGTACATTCATACTGTAATAATACAATAACCCTCGTGATGAATGGTCCTTTGTTTTATCCTGGCTGGATAAGACTTTTGTTTAAGATAATACGAAGGAGCAAAGAGATACGCTGTTAAATACATACTAATGCAAAAATACCATGGGTCAAATCATGCAGCCATGTATTGCCGATGACCTTGGTATAATAGTTGCGGTATAATAGTGTGGCATACAATGGAAAATATCATGTTCTCTGAATGTGGAAAAGGCGAGTGTGTAAAAAAAATACCTCCAGAGCAGTGAGGTTGGCGTGGTTTTGTTGACCCAGTGCCCCAGCCTCGCGTGTTTTCCCCTGGGCTTCGTTCAGCAGCTCCTGGGCCTCCTGGAGTTTCCCCTCGTGGTCGGAAAGCTTCTCTTTGATCTGAAAATATATACACAAATTGATTAATAGTACTATAAAGTAATAGTAATAGTAATCTAAAAGAAGTATGGTTTTGTCTCATAGTAAGGTATTTATTATGTTACGAGTCAAATGCCTGATGTTTGAGAGCTACAGAGAAGATAATATGTTCTACATCTTTTCCACAATATGGCTATGTTCAGACTGCTGCCTGAAGTGATCCAAATCCAATTTTTTTGCCCCTGTATGACCTGTATCTGATCTTTTAATGACAGTCTGAACAACACAGATCAGATTTTTTCGAAATGCGACCCAGGTCATTTGGATATGTGCTCCTAAAACCGATACATATCCGATCTTTTGACATACGGCTTCAGTCTGAATGGCCAGGTCACATTCATCCCACCTACACGTCAGGCTCCGAGTCGAGTCAATGGAGGGAAAGCGAGGTTAGCGAGTTTATTAATATTTGGGGGCTATTTCTTGACCCGTTTTCTGCTGTTAGGACATCCAACAATCACACAATTACTATGTCCGAATCGCAAAACTAAAATATGACAATATCAGAACCAGAAACAAAAGCAATACGGTTTAAAAGACTAGAAAGGACTGGCTTTGTCAATAGACACATCCCACTGGGAAAACAAACATGCTGGTTTGATGCTCACTTTTTCGGAAAATCCTTCCCAGTATGCATTGGGCGATGACTGGAAGTCCGAAATTCGTGATGCATGTATTCAAGCCAAATTGGAAGGGTCTTATCGGAACCCGGCGTTTTTTGAAATGATTGCAAAAGAAATGGTCGAGTGCGGCTACAGTCGATCCTGGCTCCAATTTCAACAAAAAATAAAGAGCCTGCGAGCCAAATACAAGGAAGCTAAAGTCTCAAACAAATGAAGCGGCCTTGGACGTGTAACCTGTCCATTTTACCAAGAACTGGACCATAGTTTGTGAGACAAACCCAGCGTTTATGTGACTTCCGTAAACACTGAGCATGCTCGCGTGATGTCGTCGTGTCCTCCAATGCGCATGCGGGACACTTTTGGGGCGTTTAAAGTTCACACTGGAGATCACATACAAGTCACATTTAATTGGAAATGTGAACGATCTCACACACAAAAAAAAAAATCGGATTTCACAAAAAAAGCCTTGCAGTCTGAATGCAGCCTATGTTCTATAACTTTTGCACACAAAGCATCACCTAAGATACTATGTGACTCTCTAAATACCACCAGTTCTTAATCCAGACTTGATTTTAATGTTATCCTCTTCACTCTCATAGTTTATGTACAAAAATGCTATTTAAAAAAAGATGACATGCAAATACCGTAATGTAAAACTAATTAAAATTGGAATCCATTGTACAAAAAAAAAACAACGACAAATTAAAAACACAGAGGTGGCATTACTTTGGGAAAAAAAAATAATAATAATTTTGTGTGTTTTTTGTAAATATCCTACACTCAAGAACAGGTTACAAGTAAATACTATAAAAAATACAAATTATAATGATAATATAAAACAAACCTCAGCTTTAAGATCTTCGTTGGCTTGGTGGGGGTCTCCAAACATCTTCTTGACTCTCTGGTACAGCTCCTCCGCCAGTCTGCAAACCGAATAACAATAACAACATGAACATTTTTACGCTCACTAACTTTTATTTAACGCCACTGAAGACATGAAGCCAAAATGAGATTTGCTCAGACAAAATAATAATCACTGAGATCTGATGTTGAAACGCTAGCGCCAAATTGCAGCTTCTCTGGTGTTGAGCCCGGAGGCGGAGTTAGATTGAAGTGTAGCGGTGTAAAACATTTGGACCAGGATCGCACTGGTACATGTGTGTGCTTGGATAGGCCTAAGGGAAGCAGAGGGAGGGGAGAGGTTCCTACATGTGCTAATGCGAAGTGAAACATGACAGAGTTTATTAATGAAAGTGATAGACAAACCCGGCACCAAACGAGATTGTAGAGCCAGAAGGGAAGACAAGATACATCTACGAGGATGTTGCTGTAGATGGGTAGTGGTAATAATGACTGCAAATATGAGTCAGGCACACCAAACAATTCAATTATTTAGAATTTTTTAGTTCACTGGAGGAAGCATTTGCATAAAAAATTAAATAGACAAAGAAATAAGTATAATTATGAGGTCAATTCTTCAAAATCAACACACGTTTGCCTAAAATCCAATAAATGAGTGGCACTGGATATTTAGGCACACCAAAATGGCTGTGATGAAGCTAAGCAAGGGGGAGCCTGGTTATATTATTATTAGTACATGGATGGGAGACTGCTGGGAATATCAGGTGCCGCAGTGGGTTGTTGGGAACATTGCGATCGTGTCCTTAGGCAAGACACGTTTATGAATTATGCATTGTAAAGCGCTTTGAGTATCTTAAAGGGACAGTACGGGAATTTTGGACATAGGACCTCATTTCCTAGTGAGTCGGAGTGTTGGAGACGTGTGGAGACACTTTTTAAAATATTTCATCCAGTCCTTGTATTTGCAGAGGTCGCTGGTGCTAGACTAGTGCATGTCAATGGCCATAGTTATCCTGCCACTAAAAACAGTCTTACCCGCTCCTCAAAGCACCCGAAGCAAATCTATTATTATGTGAGACTGTCGATGTAAATGTCTGTGTGGATAGAATAATGTTTGAAATAAAACTAAAGTTGCATCACATGAATCGTCGCATGTTGAGGGACTATTTTCTCATATATCAGTCCGCTGCTGCCAAACTTTCTATCAGGAAGTACAACTCACTGCTGCTGCTCAGACATAAATCCTTCAAATGCAAAGTTTGTTTTACTTCTAAAATTATTTTATCAACACAGACATTTGCATCGACAGTCTGGCGTAATAACAGATTTGCTTTGGGTGTTTTGTGGAGTGGGTAAGAGTGTTTTTAGTGGCAGGATAACTATAGCCATTGACATGCACTAGTCTAGCACCAGTGACCTCTGCAAATACAAGGACTGGATGGAATATTTTAAAAAGTATCTCCACACCTCTCCAACACTCTGGCTCACTAGGAAATGAGGCCCTATGTCCAAAATTGTAGAACTGTCCCTTTAAAGGTGCTACATAAATCCAGTGATTAATACATAAATGAATGAACTCTATACCATGAGTCCAGAAGCCAGTGTCTGTTTTAATTTTGGTTAATTGAGATCTTATAGTGAAAAGATACTATTATCAACCTCATTTTTCTGCAGTTTTACATTACAGGCTTTCTTTTCTACATGTTTCAAATGAGGTTGTCCTCTCAGGAAAAACAAAACAAAACAAAACTGTATTTAATGGCCATCTGCTCTCCAAACACAGATCTACATTTGCAGTAAGACATTTAAGGTGGACTATGTAATTCAATTCAATTCAATCTTTATAAGAACACATAATATCTGGTTCATAGTGTAGAAAAATAAAAAGAATAAAACATTTAAATACACAGTGCATGATATAATGTGTACAGACAAGACTGCCAGTGTCTCCACAGCTTAGAGGTGAATCTGACAGAGCTCCTCACAGGACACACTAGAGCTGGAATGATTTGTTTGCTCAGATTCATGTCTCAACACATAAATGAATAAATACATCTGGTTTTGACAACACAGGGTCTCACACCACAGATTACAAACACTTCGTTGGCGCTAGAACCTCGACATGTTCAGTAATAGTCTCAAAGAGTCATTATAGGCCACTGTCAAAACTCTTTTTTTGTAACTTGTCTCATGGTTTTTTGTTTCCATGGAGGCGTTATTTATATGCCTGGGACGGGACCACAGTCGGGCCATTAACTTTTCTATCTCTGTGTAGACAAGCAGACACCACCAGGCCACGTTACAGGTCAGATCTGGGGAGAGGCAAGCCCGTTCATAGTAAGAATGCAGAGTTTTAAGGTATTTTTAAGCAATGAAAACAGCTGTATTTGATTTAATGAAGGATAGATACAGTATTAAGTATACATCCCTATACATCCCTATAGAGAGAAGCATAATGCAGACCCTCCACTAGAAAAGTTACAGTGGCATACATTTCACTTAGATAGAACATCCACATCATTCATTTCACTCTCGCTTTAATTGCTCCATTTCATCTGACATTGTTCTCGCTTCTATTCTCTCCATGCCCCTGAGCCCATAGTTTCAGCTCATGTTAAACTAGATTTTTTTCTTCCTTCTGTCTCCGTCACTCCATCCTTCTCTTGTCTCTCACTGTAGTAAATGTTGACAAGGTCGCGCAGTTAATTAAAAGTAGTGCCGTGAGGGGAGACGTGCAGAGAGAGGGCTAAAAAGTCACAAAGGGAGAGTAGAGCGAGTGACAGGAAAATGTGAGAAAAATGTCCACACTTGATAGGATGATTTCAATAAAGCCTGAGGGAATGTTGCAGCCCAAGACGCTCAGTGATAAACAATAGTGTTTTATTTTGAGTATTGGCACTGTGTAACAGTACATGTTTTCTGCTGGTTTGTATTCCTCCACAGAGTTCATTAAAGTTTTACAAATCTAATCATTACCATCGGGAATCAAAGACCCCAGACGCAACGTGCTGTCAACAAGAGGACGCTGAATCCTAAAAGTCTTAATTAACGCTGAAATCCCCAAATAGCTTTAAGTTAGAAGTAATGTGGTAAATGTTAAGGTGTTAAATGAGCATGTAATGACACTATTTTGAAGAAACTGAAATAGTTAATTAATCTAATATAAATTAAATGTCAACTGCATATTGCTGGCTTTCAGATAAGATCAACATTCTAGGTCTGTATGGTTTAACCGAGAAGGATGCAGTAAAAAGTATATTTTAAAAGGACATATTTTGCAATTATTATGTGCTTGAAGATCTTTGTGTTGGCATCTTATGTTTTAGTAGCCAGGCTGGTGCCACCTCGTGCCTCTGCTCAATTTCATTTCTCTCCAGCCACTAGGTCAGGAATCAAAATACACTAGACCAATAAGCGAAGAGCTGTGAAGCCATGACTGGGTCCCTTTTGTGGTACAGCAAAACAGTAAACAAAGCTGTCAAGATGGATGTAGACGAAGTCAAACATTCTGTGTTGGCAACGATTCCCAAGATCGAGGATTTAAAGTCGGAACAAAGAGAATGTTTGGTGAATTTTATCAGGGGAAAGAAGTTATTGCCCTTCTTCCTACGGGATTTGGGAAAAGCTTAATATACCAGTTCGCCCTGTTAGCGGCACATTATATACGTCACGACCAAATAGCAGCGATTGGTTAAATTAAAAAGTACCCGTTTACCGTCGAGCGAACGAACAAATCCTTATGCTGAGAGGTCAGACGGTTTCCACGAAGTGAAACCGGTAGATGAATCAGACTAATGTTTTAGATCTTCAAACGGTAAAATTTTTTGAAAGCACACATCAGTTTCCATAAGTCCGTGGTCCCTCATTGTATTTGCCATTTATGACAGCAGTATGAATTACTGTAAAAAAATCTAGCCATTAAACAATGTGGTCCAACATGCTAATATCTACAGGCAGTTGTAATGAATGAATGAACACGACTTGACGGCACAAATGCTCAGAACAGGTCTGCTGATGATGTATGGACTTAATAACAGCACAGGCGAAATATGGAATTCTACCTGTGACGTCACAATCCAGGGAAAATTGAAGTGCAGTGATTTCTGAAGCTTCAGAGAGCGAGGACCTTGCAAAACTTGATTAATGAAATAAGTATGAATGAAGCAAATAGGACTCCAGGTATGTTTTTGATGAATGAATTAAAAGATCGAAGACAGAACTATTCTAATCACCATCACCATCAATTTTGTTTTGGCATTTCTCATGACAATACAATATAATCAATACAAAAAACTCCTATTTGTGAGTGTGGCATCATCAGAATCTGAAAACTACCACTAAACAACTAAACCAAGTTCAGAAATACTTAAGTTAGTTAGTCTAGTAGTAAATGTAAATAGTTAATGTGGCAGATTACATAATACACATTTACATATTTCTATACAATTCTATTCAGATTCAAATTACTAGCTGGCCAACTTCACAAAAACAACATCTGTGTCCAGTTCGAGTGTGAGCCAACAGTGAGATTTTTTTGGTGTTGCGTAGGAGTGACCCACGTGTATTTGTTGAAGTAACGTGACTGCGTTAACAACGTTTAAGCAGTATGTTGTGTGTCTCTGTTGTGTACATGAGCTTACTCTAGCTCTTGGTCGGCGATATCCCTCTTGTCTCCCAGCTGTCGTGCTCTCATCTCGGCTAACATGTCGGCGATTTCCTCCTTCATCTGGCTCAGGCTTTTGTCCGGAGTGCCGTCTTTACGCGACAGAGTCTTGTTCAGCTCCAAGGCCTTCAGCTGTAGTTCTGCAAACAAGTGAACACATGGAAAGTACATCCTTGTTACTTATGTACAGCCACAGAGATGAGTTCAATTTAAGTAGTTTTTTATTCTGAGGGGATATTGCACATAGACATTCATAGCACCAAATAGATTGAAGAGGGCGTATGATGCAAAATCAGCTTTTTTGAAGCTATCTACAATTTTATTATTATTATTATTATTTTATTTTAATATTATTTATGTATTATTTATTTTTCCTTTCTCTGGAGACAGTGGGAGAGGGGGGTGGGGGGTAGGTGAAGGGGTGGGGGGGCTGGGAGAAAAAAAAAGATGGTCACATTTTATTACTGTTAATTATATATTATATATTATATATATATATATATATATTATATATATATATATATATAATATATATATATATTTTATTTTTTTTTTTTTTCTTCTACTTGCTATCTACAATTTTATAATGTTCTTAGTGTTTTTTAGTATTATGTAAACCAGGGGTCTCCAACCTTTTTCCTTGGGTGAGCTACCTTTACAAAATGAATATTCAAGAAAGCTACTAATTTTAGCGGTCCCAGGAAATAAAGTATAAATAAGAGCCATGGGAAGACTTAGATGAGGTACAGTTGGATAAAACATAAAACATAAACCATTATTTATTTATGAGTGCACAAAGTCAGGCATCAAAATCATAGATTTGCAAAAATAATAGGCATTTAATTCATCAAATTTGAGTTATTCAGGACAGTACATGTAATTCAGAAATCTCTTGGTGAGCTACTTGAAAGGGGTTGGTGAGCTACGGTTGGAGACCCCTGATGTAAACAAGTAGGGGGCTGGAGGAGGTGGGGGCAGGCTATCAGTGTCAAAGTGTAAAAAATTTAACTGAATTCAACATTTCAATAAGTTGTTTTGGGTCAGTACAGCATTTTCAATATGGTCATCTAAATATCTATCTGTATTTAATAACCCAGAGGTGTAAAACCTGCTCGTTACCTAGTCAGTTCCCTTCGGCATTTTGTTTAGAATAAAATCAATATGTATTTTATCAATTAAAATAATGTCCATGAGTCACAAAGATTAATTCAGTTCAGTTTTTTCTTAAAAATGTTTGGAATTTGCTTTTTGTGTCAAACTAAATGTTATTGAGCTGAATCTTTAACCTCAGTTCACTTTTCTTTTTTTGCCTACTTTCATGTTTTCTATGTGTGAATTTCCATACACAACCTTCAATAGCAGAGGAAAATAAGCTCATTATCAATTTGAATAGCAGATACATTGAATTCTATTTTTATTCTTTTTCTTATAATCTTCTACTGCATTTCCTTTGGGTTCGGTTTTGACTTACTGTCTCTGAGCTTCATCATTAGCGCCTCCCTTTTCTTACACGCTATTTTTTTATGTTTAGCATGCTGTTTGCTTTATTTCTTCTCTGTATGTGTCAAAAAACTCAAAGAGCAACAAGCATTTGATCTGGTTTCCTTAACGCGGACACATGCGGAGGCTCGCACACTCGTAGCCAAACACCAGACAGTCTGTTCCCACCACTGGAGCCTGGTGCTTTCTCTAATACTGTATGTTGTGTACTTTTGTCAGATTAAAGGCATGGACCGATCGCTGATGAAACTCAGCTAAGACAGACTGGTCCTCATTTGAATAATAAAAACGTTATTCAAATACTGCAGGGGTAGACATGGTAATAGAAGCAGCGTACATAGTAGGAGCAGTGATGTGTTAGTATAGCTGTAATTGCAGTTATAGCTCGTAAATGTATTATTTAAGTGTGTTATGGTTTCAATATTTTTAAAAAAAAATGCATGCAAAAAGTATATACGTGGAACTTTTTTCCTATTTGCTTGTATAAAGTAAGTATCTGTCGCCCTCTACTGGTGTTGGTAGGGAAGGAAGCATTTTATAACTAATTAACAGCACAGATATTCATATTCATGCTGTGTGTTGTAGAGTAAAAATAACTAGAATTCATCAGAGGTGTAAGTATCAGTATTCAGGGTTACCATTCTTTTTCACTGACAAAATTTCAAAACTTTTCCATGACTTTTTCATGTCATAAAGTGAATTTACCATGACTTTTACAAGTGTAGAATTGATCAGACTTTTAGGGCTAAATATGAAATGTTAACCCTTTCCACTCACCTTATGGTTTAGTATTATAGTTTTTTAACATTCAAAATACTGTCAGTGCATTTATTGTCATCTCTTTTAAACAAAAACCATGTACATTCAGAAATAATCATAATAGCCTAATGATAACTAACAGAATGCTGTAGTCAGTGGCGGAGTTAGCAATTTGGGGGCCCTAAGCGAAATTGAGTTTGGGGCCCTCACTATAATGCACCGTTTTTCTGTTTTGTTTTGTTTTGTTTTTTTCAATATACTTATTGTCTGCTTTTCCCCAATGCTCTTGAGACATGCACATCTCTATTTATTTGAATTATGGTGGATTGGAAACTTGTCTTTTTAGTTAGGATGCCTACAAGATAAGCAGAGCTGAAAGAAGTTTTATTTTTTTGCTAGTACAAGTACATTTTTGTTTACGGCCATTACATATGATGATTATTATTTTTCTTAGGATTATTGTACTCTCATTTAATGTCATATTGAGAGAAAATCACACTGCTCTGAGGTCTCGGCAATTAGTGGCACTGAGAGAAGTTGGTTGGGGGCCCTTCCAGGTTTGGGGGCCCTAGACAGCCGCCTGCTTTTGCCTAATGGTAGCGCCGCCTCTGGTTGTAGTTACGTGAAAGAGATACTAAAATTTCATGACTTTTCCAAAACTTTCATTGAATTTACAAAATTCTATGACTTTTCCAGGCCTGGAAAATAACATTTTTGATTTCCATGACTTTTCTAGGATTTCCATGACCGTGGGAACCCTGAGTATTTATTTACTTTTATTAATAGCAGTGGTGCAGTAGTATTGTATGTAAAAATATAAAGCCAAAAAAATGAAGCAATATTGTAAGTAGTGCTTGCAAGTAGAAGTATATTGATAACACTTCATAATAGCTCATTTTAATCAGCCTTAATAAAGCATTCATAAAAACAGACAGAAGAAACGACTTCATAACCTAATTTAAACTTAAGCACCCAAACACCTAACCCTTTAATTAAGTAGTTACCAAGTATGAATCATTCTTAATAAACTTAATAAACTAAATTTGTTACAACAGATACAATTACTGTCCAACTGTTTTCTCCCTTCCTTTCTCCTAATTTTCCTCTAACTATTTGCTCATTATGAATTCCGTCTTTGCCATGTGGTATTGAAAGTGCAGTTATTCTTTTGTGGTACTAGTATTTTTGATCTGTCGCAGTAGTTATACAGTTACAGTAATAACATTTTCAATTTGTCTTAAAACTTGATGACTGGAGAAGCAACTTTGCCAACTACAAAATCATCAATTAGGCAGAAAAAAAAGTTCAGATTTAGCTTCTTCCTTCCATCTTGCGCGTGTGTGTGTTCCCTCCGTATTTTCCTCTTGATTTGAAATGTAAACATGCGATGATTAAAGGCGCAGAAAGCCTAATGAGCAGCTGGACTCTGTGTATATATGCATTGGTATGGATGTGTGAGTCCTGGCCATATAATTACATAGAGGATTTAAAAGGCAATTAAACACTTAAAACGTGCGTTGCATCATATTACGCTATCCCGCCAGCACAGGAGCTAGAGGAGAGTGTGTAATGTATTTCCTTAGCTTCATTATAGCAGCGAGTGTGTGTGTGCATGTATGCCGATGTGATAGCTGCTAATTAAGTCTCTAATTGCTATTCTCAATCATCTAGTAAGCGACACAGAAAATCTAGATTCTTTTTGGAGGCTCTCATAATACCAGTGTGATTAGGCGGTGGGCCAGCGCCGCGAGGAGTTAATGTAGTTCTTTGCATCCATAAAGTTGCATAATCAAAGGAACAAACGACACTGAAGAACACAGAGGCATAGAGGGGTTTTTGTTGTGGGAGCAGTGAATGTAGATTGGTTCTGCGCACTGGGACTGAGCCAGATCAGTCAAAAATACTTTAGTCATATTCATATTACGTAATTGGATGCATAAACCCTTAGAAAGTTAGTAAAAGTACAAAGCAAAAGGTGTATATTTCAAATAAAGTACATACGCAATACTTGAAGCTTTGATATAAGATGACATGTTGGCTGCCTCCTCAAAGAATAATCAATAAATAATCAATAGTTGTATGTGGTTACTCCTTCACTGCATTTCAAACCACAAACTCACAGATACAGCCAGTGGTTTTGCATTCAATTTCAACTTTATTTACGGTATTTTCCGGGCTATTAGACGCGCTCTTAAGCCTCTAACCCCATCAAAAAATGACAGTGCGCCCCACAATCCAGAGCCCCATACACGAATCCACTCAGGTGTCCCAGTACGACTTCAGTAAACTACAAAGTCACACCACCCACAGCGCAGGCAAACACAGAGAGACCGCACAACGAAAAACACCCTCAGCCACACTCATCACTCCACACCGACGAGGAACGGAAAGGAGGAACGAACCAAAAAAGCGAGCGCAATGTGCCACTCTGAGTCACAACTGATCAACTGAGTCACTGCGAACACGCCGACAATCCAGCGGTCCCAGACAGCACCCTCCCTACACGCCACAACTGAACAAAACTGAGAGTCACCGTGAACGCACCAAACAAAGTCCAATGCATCCAACTGTTGTGTTTCGTTTAAAGTCCAGTTCGGTTTATTTGTGAAAAAAGTTCGAAAATAGACCATTTAATGACAGTGTGTCTTATAATCCAGAGCGCCTAATAGCCCGGAAAATACGGTATTTATCAAACTGAGTCACAGTTGCTCACGTTTCCACTGACCTGATTGAAGAATAGACTGAGTTCTGTTGTTGTGTCCTTTGGCAAGACACTTCAACCACCTTGCCAACTGCGAATGTGCTGTATTAGTGAGTTATTGGTGGTGGTAGGGGGGCAAATGTTCCGATTGGATATCTATCAGTCTACCCCAGGGCAGCT